TCACAGTCAGGAACCAACTCCGATATCATGTTCATGCAAAAAGCACTATAATTCAAATATACACATTCTCCAAATCAACAAACACAAAAGAAACTTATTTTTTCATAATCAACCATGTTAGTGATCTGCTAAAGCAGTGGTTCTCAACCTTTCTAATGCCGCGACCCCATAATACAGTTCCCCATGTTGTAGTGACCCCCAACCACTCATACATCACCGGGTGCCAGGGGCGTGGCCAAAGAAAAGAGGGGGAAATGGCGGACAGCTTTGTTTGGCGACCCCCGTGAAATGGTCGTTCGACCCCAAATGGGGTCCCGACCCACAGGTTGAGAACCACTGTGCTAAAGAGTAACATTCTGGTACATACTCTTCTGTCTTACATAAAACAATATTGCATTTTCCAAATTTTGCTCATTTTCTCTTCTTGAACCATTTAGTAAGGATTATATCCAATAGTTTTCCAAACACATAACAAACTAATACTTCAGTAGTTTTTTCATTCCAGCATTACATTTTTCTTTGTATAAAGAACAATAGCACATCTTTAGCTGTCAATCACAAATGCAGTCTTTACACACTCAATGAAGAAGTCAGACCACCCTTTTATAGTCAGACTAAATTCATACCTTAATTGTTTTTAGTTTCAAATTTTTCAACAGCATTTCACTTCCTTTTTGAATATTTTTTGATGACTAACAATTACAATTACTTTAGTTCCTATCTTTGACAGATAACTATAGTAATCTTTAAATTATTTTTTTTAGTTTTCCCCCAATCCATTTTAATAACAAACCATTTCATTACTTTCTTAATTCTGTTCCTTCTGCTGACAGTCTTCCCTTAATGTTCTTCAAAATCTTTTAAAACTATTTTTTTAAAAAAATCCATCAAAATGGCTCTGCATTTTCATTTTTTTATTTCATTCATGTAATTTCTATAGCTGCCCATCTCAAACAGTGACTCTGGGTGGTATATCATAAAAATATCAAACAATAAAAGAATTAAAACAATGCAGAATAAATATACATTACAATCAATGGCCAGCATGAAACAAAATACAGTACAAGAAAAAAACCTATGGTAATGTGCTGTAGTTTATATAGCATTCTCAAATGTAAATAAAGCAAAAACAAAACGTTGCTGTTGTGGCCACATTCTTTCCAGGTATCTTTTTTTCTCTACTCTTCAGGCTTTGCTACAATTACTCTCTTATATGCATTTTTCTTTATAGCTTCTTTTTTTCATTATTCCACCAAGCATTTTTACAATGTACTTCATATAATATTTGAGTATAATATTTTATATTAGCTCTGCAAATTCCTGTGGCATATATCTTTTTGAGGCATCTAAACAAAATAATAACAAATTATTATTATTAGTTATAATAATAATTTATAACTAATAATAAATAGTAATTTATAAATTTTATGCTTGGTGAAATTATAATAATTTCATCAAGCATAAAATTAACTAAAAGGGATAGTCAGTTTTCAGACATTATCTGTTTTTGTTTTTGTTTTTGTTTTGTTTATATTTCATTTTCCTTCCAACAGTCTCCTGATAGTATGACCAATTCCTTTCTGAGATAGATTAGTATGAAAGCAATAGCAATAGATATGGATATATCTATATATATCTATATATATAGATATAGATATACACATATGTATACACACACACACACATACACACACACCTAGGGAAACTGTTATTTCTTAGTTTTTAAATATTTATTGCAATATATTACAACAATATATTTAATGTTATTTAAAATATATGTTCAATACTAGTTTTGAATTTCTTTTCTATCAGACCAATATTTGCCTTTATGTTTTCAAACACCACAAAGAAGTATATATTTTTGTTAGCATTGACTGGGTAGCATGCATCATGAGGTTTTGTGAAGGCTTGGCACAGGGAACTGAATGAACCCAGCCATTGTGATTCATAAAGCACATTTGATGGCTTAGTGCAATTGTCAATCAATCATACAGAACCACATAACTCAACACATTCTTTTCCAATGTGGGAGTTCTGAGACATTTATTAAATTGAACATAGGCTCTTATTATGCTGATCCTAACAGCAAGACTTCTTTTGTAAAATTCTGCTAGCAACAGAACAATATATGTAACTTCAGTTCTATGAACCCCAACTAGGTAAATTGTAATGAAGAAACTTACAATTATTACAGATTCAAAGTTTGAATTAATTCTATCAAAAACTCTTTTTGTATGAAGAAGGTTGGTATAAACTCAGCTAAAAACTGAAGATGAAATGCTCATCTTTTCCTAGTCTTTTTAGAAGTATTGAGAACATTTTCACTCCTTAAAATCTTAATTACTCTGTCAATTACTAAGAATAAAGAATTTAAATCTTTGCCATTGTGTGCCTATGTTGTCAATGTGAAGTGCATAACTTTGAGTGAAAAAGTACCGCTAAAATGCTGAAGCTAATATTATAGTGCATGTCTTAATACAAAACCAGGATAATGAAAAATGCCATTCTTTGTAGCAAATAGATTATACATTCATGCCATTTCAGTTAATTACAAGAAAAATAAAACTCTGTGACAGGGGTATACTTTTGTCATTGATTGTACTCAGAATTCACTAACAGTTCTGTTCTTATATTTTGCTGGACAGGGAATTTGAGAACACTAGCAAGAGATTGGTGGACTTTCAAATAAACTTGGCAGAATTAAAAATATTGCCAAACACATCATCATATACAACTAATTTTTTCTAGTCACTTGGGTTTGGGAACACCAGATGATGACTCTAAAGTAGACCAAGCACCTAGTGCTTCTTATACTATAATTAAAATAATCTTATGTATTCTAGAAGTAAATAAACATCAAGGCTAAAGAGATAAAAGATATAATCCTAAAAATCAAAACATCCTCAGCTGTATTTTAATCCTGTGCCTATTATTCTAGCTAGGAAGATTGTTCTGTTCTGTAATATCTACATATAACCCTTCATGGACTTCAAATGGGAGACAAGAGAGGAAATTAACCACCGTGATAACATTAAAAAACCCAAATGAACACTAAATAAAACCTAAAAATATTTTCCTAAGTAAACCTTTCAAGTGCCACAAGGACTCAGCAGAATAAAGACATCTGACACCATGCATCTTAGATACCATGACTGGACTATGTCTGTGAAAAGGAAGTGGGCTGACATTCATTCTTGAGTGGTTATCTAGATAGGTGCCTACTAAATAAGCTTTACCTGACTGATGTTATCAAGGTGGGGAAAAAAGTATATCATCTGGATCAACCCAATTTCTCTAATAGGAAGTACTATTATCATAGGATGCTTCAAGTCATGAGGGACATCAAGAGTCCTTCACAGGTGTATGGGCAGAGAGATTCCAATTGTTGTCATAACATGTGGTGTTTTGGAGCATCCCCTTTTCACTTTTTTTAAAAAAATGATAAAATATGACTAGTAATGTAACAATAAGAACAACAATGATTAACATGAACAGTTATTATAGGCATTATTGTATGAGAGACATTTGGATATTTAAAACTGAGGTGCCATTTTTTTATACCCAGTCCTTAAGATAGAATGAGGTTTTAGCTCTGGATGCCTCTTGTATTCATAACTGCTACTTGCATTCATAATTTCCATGAAAACTGTGGGGATGTATTGTTGAGCAAGGCCTCTAGCTTGCCTTATAAGAGTTCCATTGATATCTTGATAACTGTGATGAAGAGAGCAAATTCTTTATTCTGAAAAATTCTGGGTTTATAGAAGTGACTGTAATCTCCTTTACCATGACAGTCGATTTAGAAGCACCACCTTTGTGCCTGGCATAGATGAAGAAGAACCCAAAGTTTGTTGACTTACTTGTGCATTCCAGAATTGCCTATATAATGGTCTAAATGCTCGGCATGGGCCCTGATTCACTTGTGAATGTTCTTCCCCATTATTGTTTACTCTTATGGGTTTTCTTTTGACCCCTATTGGAATTTGTGCACATGGGGATTGCTTCTTTGTTGTTGCTTTTATCTCTTACTAAAATTATATTTGGCTTGCAAGGAATGTTTATGCTTTTGTTTTTCCATAGGGTGTTTTTGAGGTAATCAAAAAATTAGAAATGAGTGACTATTGGTGGTACAGAGCAAATGTGTAAGAATTAAAAATCTGAATCAAACTCTCCAGAGCTCCCCTGTTTCTTTTGTTTCAATCAACTACTATTTGCCAAGTCAAAGAGGAAGGGCTGATAATACAATAGTTTTTCAGTAACATCCAAGGGTTCATGAAATACTGTATATACTTTTTGGACAAAACAAATAAAAACACTATATTTCCCACATAATGATTTTTTAATACAGTTAGCATGTTTGTTGCAGCCCAAACCATTAATTATTAATGATTCTTTGGTTTAATAGTGTGGGGAAAACAAGGCCAAGAAATGGAAAGTTGGGTTATTATTAAATTTAAAAAAGATACAAATGATAAGGAAGCAAAGTTAAGAGTACTGAGCTCTGCAACCTTCCAGAACAAGAAACTATAGTGGTAGCCTATTTGTAATATCCACGTGTATTATAAGATGGACCTGCATATGTGACTACAGTCCCAAATTATGTCCCTTTCTGTTCAAAGATCTTAACTGAAATGACATGAAAGGAAGAAATATCTAGCACTTTCACATATGATAAAATTAGTAACACTGATGAGCCATTTCCTGATGTTTCTCTTGTAGTTACTGGCTTATTTATTACCAGTCAGAGAAGATCTGAAGCCCTGCTGAACAAAATGTTGAGGAAAAACTCAGAGATATATCTCACTGGAATACAATATTGGAACATATTTTAACTACTGTAGTACTTGGGGTCATTTATGTAATCGAACATTACTTAAGGTTGCTGTTTAATCCTTCTTCTTGTGGAATCTATCTTTATGCATGATTATCCTTGAAATATTTACCTTACCAAAACACTTAGGCTTGATTCAGGATCATTTAGTTTGCTTTACTACTTTCTGAAACATTTTTTTTTTTTTTTTTTGCTTTTAATCACCATGACCTTAAGCTGTGTGATCACCTCTGGCTTGTTCATAATTGGTGATGTGATTCATAGGGCTATAAAGAGGCAAGAACCTGAAAGAAAGCACAACTGCTGAGCAATTTTCATTAATTTCAGCAAGGATTACTCAGAATATATTCTCTACTGAAGTGTGCCCCTTTTCTCCGATATTTTAAATGAATCTCAATGTGGAAAATAATGAACAAAATAAAATATTTTTACGTCAAGCCTTGAATAATGTATTTTTATAATACAGCAAGGACAACAGCAGTATAGACATTGATTTTTATTAATTAAGAATCAGTTTTCTTCTGCTTCAGTATTGATGTGTGCTCCCCTTTGTGAACACCATTCCAGCCATCAATTATACAATGAAAGTATACTTATTCTTCATCATGAACCTGAAAAATCATAAAACAAGACAATATAATTTATATGCAATAGAAATTACCACTGTAAAGAAAGAAGAATAAGAAAGGAATGTGATGCAGTAAATTACATTTAGAAAATCCTTTAATCTCTGTTTAGGCAGCTAAAATTTTAGAACCAGAAAGCTTCTGCCTGCCAGTGTTCAGCATACTAGTCAGATGGACTAATGATCCTGCATGTATGCTACACAAATTCTTAAAACAGTATTTTTTTGTGCGAACATTATGCGAATAGCCCTGTTAAACTTAGAAGAATTTCCTCATGAGTAAATATGTACATAATTTTCTATTAAAAATGAAAACAGACTTTTTAGTTCTTCACTAGTGGCATTTTGAACCCATATGGCCTCTGGTTGGGCACATATTGCCTTGGGTCCATGAGCCTACTTTCAACTACAAACTGCAAAGGCTAGTAACCCTGCTTTCCTATGTGGAAAATAGTTTAGCATAATAAAACATATATATTTAAGAAATGTGACTTGCTCTACTGTTTAGTAAACAATGGCACCCAACTCTTAATCTGTTCACAGATAGGTAGAGCATTAAGGACATCTGTCTGTTCCTGAAGGATTTATTACTGGATTGCAAGCAACTGCTGTTTAGTGAGAAACCTGAGGTAAGTCTGTTTCAGCTCATTAATTATCTTGATACTTCACAGAATATATTTAGAGTTCTTGAAGCACACCATGCATACTTTTCTCTGGGGTCTTAGACACACATAATTTTATTCTCAAGTCATTGTGTGAGGCATTTTTTTATTAAAACACAAATTTTATTACAGTTAATAAAAATATCTCAAAAGAAAATCACTCTACCATGGTACAACAGTCACACTGTGAGGTAACTAACACATTTCTATATCAAGGCTTGTAAAGTAATTGTTTGATAAAACTACTTCCATTGCAAAAAGCTGTCTAGTTGCAGTATTTGTAGTAGCTTCAGCACAAGTTCTTTTTTAATATCTTCCTAATCTGATGTTTACATAATAATTCATGGTACCCTTAACTAATAGTTTGGTTCCTAAATCATTAAAAATGTGTCAGACAGCTTTAGCAATGTTTATATTGCTATGGTGGATTTATATACAAGGCAAATGAAATACTCAGTATCTGGAGTATACTGGATTAACTGCACTGCCTTCTTTAACCATATTTCTGATACTTTCCTAAAGTTTGCTTGCCTAAAAGTAAACAAGGAGTGTATGACAGTTAACCTCTTTCATTTTATGATCCTTTCTATAGAGTATCACCAGATGCCAGGTTAAAATTTATGGTAAAGGAGAAACTGAAGTAAGAATGGAAGTTATTTGCACTCAGATTAGTTACTGGTTTCTTCTTCCCAGAATCCTTTCTGTTTCATTGGCCTGTATCCAAATGGTTTTTCCTGAAGATTTTCTACATTTGACTACCTAAAGCTTGCATCCAAATTAAATTGTGCAGATGGTGCTTTCTATATCCTATGATTGCTGCTTCGAGTGACATTTTGTATGTGTTCTCAGGGCAACTGAAAAGAGGTTAAGTGGTACAATGCACTGCTAAAAATATCAGAAGAGTTGGTTATTTCTTGCCTATCAAAATGTTCATGAAGGGACATGTTGCTGTTCTTTCTTCAAGCAAGACCATTCCACTCTTATTTTCTTCTGCCCTTGAGGGTGATTTTCTTTCCCTTTCCTCATAACCATGTACTTTTATCCTTATCTAAACATTATGTGTCTTCTCTATAGAATATTAATGACTGCTTTTAAGTTCTATGTTCAGTCTTTCGGCACTTGTTTCACTCACTCAATTGCATCTTTTATTCCCTTCATTCTCTTAGGTTTTTTAAAAAAATGTTTCTCAAGCAACATATACTTGCATATTAATATAACTTGCATATAAATAAGACAGAGGTTCTAGAAGGGGAGGATAAGCAGGGGTGTGCTTTCCATACTCTCAAAATGTCCCTTCCATCTTCTCTCCTGATAGACTAGTCTCAGTGTGGTACAGTAGAAAAGATCCCATGCAACCAGCATCAGAAAAGATGGCGGAAAGCAAACAGGAAGAGAAAATTTCTGAGAGAAGAGAAAATTCATGTCATTTAGTCTTCTTCAGAGTCAGTGTGGTATGTGTTTAAGGCATTAGACAGGAAACCAAGAGATTGTGAATACTAATCCTGAGGGATCCTTGGTACTCTCTGAAAATCTTGCCAAGAAAACTGCAGGGACTAGCAGATGCTGAAAGTCAACACCACTCATTACCTGTAAATGGGTGATCAGGGAGGCACTTAATATTTCAACAGCCCATCATTCGTATGTTCATATGAAGTGACAATACTGTAGAGCTGGTGTTCCTTAAAGTTAAAGCTGTTGAGATAACCCAGCTAGATATGCTGATAGTGTGAGTGATAGCATATTTTCATTCTGCTGCAAATTGATACCTGATTTAAATGGAATTTTGGGATGCACATTTTGCAGTTCTGACAGTGAGGGCACCATAATGGTTTGGGATATGTCTCAAATACCACCGTTCACTATCATCTTTTTAAATTTGGCTATAAGGCTTAACTCATGTGAGACTTGTGCCAATGTTACAATTTCTAAATATTAATCTCAGCACTGAGTGAATAGGTACAAGTCTAACAATAGGCTTTATGCCAAAGATTCATTGCTTTTAAGAATTGAACTTTGCTTAAAATGCTTACTGCTTTTAACAAAAACAAAACCCCAATACATAATAATTAAAGAACAGAGACAAGATTAGGAATGAGCCTTTCCTTCAAATGCTTTCTCCTTCTGAGAAAGAGGCACAGATGATGAATGGGCCCTTTTGTACAGGCATTCTGCTTAAGAATTGGAAACTACAACTGCCAATCTTCCTCTAAGCACATCTATTCAGTACAGAAAGCTACTTGTATTCTAGCCAGCCTGCTTTCACCAGCTTCACTGCCTACCGCTGCCTACCACTGCCCAAATTTACCAAAACTTCTCCAGCTACAGAACTCCAAGAAGATCTGCAGCAATACGATGATGCCATACAATCTGCCACTAAAAGCCTCATTGTCATATACCGTATAATCTTTCAACTTTCAGAGCCTTTTTTCCCCTCCATATTAGCTGCCTAAATCCTCTGCTGTCATTAAAATCCACTTCTTTCTACACCAGTCATATTACGCTGTTGCCCACAATGTGCAGTAGGATATGTGTGCCTTACTTCTACACTTGTCCTCTTCCTCACTGTCTAGCTGCTTTATTTTGAGCGTTTCTGAAGCAACACAACTTTGTAAACCAGCTTGTGTTGTCTATAATTGTCTTCACTGATACAGTTGCTCAAGTCAAATTACTGGCCTGACTTCCACTAATTCTGGCATCTACTTACAATTAGATTACGAAAGGTAAACTGTTTGAGAAGTGAAACCCTTCTAATCTTTCAAATAGAATATTGCTAACAAGCACATCTTTACACATTAGTGTCACATGGAGATTTGTCATTGAGTGTCTTTTTGTGTCTTCCCAGAAGTGGTTCTTATTAAAATAAGGATGGCATCTTGACACACAAAATTGAATTGGGCTCCTACAAAAATTAAATCTTCAGTTTAACTAACTTCAGGTCTGATTCACAAATCTATTTAGTGTATATTTCCTCCAATAACAGATGCCCTCACATCCTTCTCAGAGGTATCCATTTGGCCTTCATGAGACCAGAATGTTGGACTAGATAAAAATAAAAGCTCTTTTCATGGTTTCATGACTGAGTAATATTTGGGGGGAATGTGGCAAGATAGCAAGGGAAAGACAGGCAGACAGGTTAAATATTCTGCATATAGCTTTTTTTACATTTTGAATTGGAAAAAGGTTAACTGCCTCCAAGTTTCCAAAAATTGCTAGATTTTGCACATTCTTCCCATATTATGTCACCAAACTGATTTTATTGTAATATTTGTAACTGCATAAAAAAGAAAGCAACAGGAGATGTAGGCACTTGTATAACCTGCAGAGATGGTAAGTCTGCAGTGGGTCTGCCATGTCTATTATAAATAGTGTGTGAGGTTGTGAGCTTTTGTTTTTTATACAGCTGTAGGCATTCTTATGTTCTCCACTGGCCCTTTGGGGAGCCCTCAGAATGGTGACCATGACAACAACTAATGATTATGCAATTTGCCACTAGAGGCCACTCCTCCTTTTGCAGCTTTCATTGGGTAAAGTCAGTGAATAATTTCTTTTTGTCACTATCCACCACCATTAGAGAAAATAACTTGATAAAACAAGATTATATGAAATTTAATTGCCCATAGTATTAAAATTAGCTACATTATTAACAACCACTTTTAAAGCTGTTTTGTGCCACAAATTTGAATTTAAAAAATCCTTTGTCAACTCCCACATTGTTTTTAATAGTCCTAGATTGTACCTTTAGTTATTAATTGTAATATTAATTACAGTCATTTTAAAAATACAGTTACATGGGCAAAGCATGGCTGATTAATACATAGTGGGTATCTTTTTAAATACTAGTAATCCAGACTGAAATAGTACGTTTCGGTTTCTGTGCTCAACAGCACTTTATTTCAGATGATACTCATATAATATATAATGCTTTTATCTCAGCAAGTGCAGAAAAAGTGGGTTTTTACTCCAGCCTAGCATAGTCTTCTCCAACACGATGTGTTCCAGATGCATTATGAGAATACTGTAGGCTGGTTGAAAAATAAGAAATGATGGAGATTTTTAACTAGATGGAAAAGTCTAATTTAGCAGCCCAATGTTCCATTTTGAATCTCAAGTTTCATCCCATCTGACAGGAATGAATCTGGCAGGCTTGGCCTTCTTCTCTAAAGGGGACAGGCAGAGGAGAATCAGGACTTTCACCTTGGAAAAAGTTAATTTCAATGACATATTCTAGATTCACTGCCTACCCTTGTTCCTCTCCCTTGTTGTTCTTTTAGAGATTCTAGCACAGTGGTTCTCAACCTTTTTAATGCCGCGACCCCCAACCGGTCATAAGTCGAGGACTACTCAACCGGTCGTAAGTCAAGGACTACTCAACTGGTGCAGCACCGTTTGCAGAATGGGACTTTTGGCGGGCTCAGCAGGGCAGAGACAGCCTGGACAATTCCTATTGGCTTTTGAAAGCCAATAGAATTAGACTCTATTCAAGAGAGTCTATTCTATTGGCTTTCAAAAGCCAATAGAATAAAAGGGAGTAGCACAGCTAAGGAAAAGGGGAAAAAAATGGTGGACTGCGTTGTTTGGCGACCCCCGTGAAATGGTCGTTCGACTCCAAATGGGGTCCCGACCCATAGGTTGAGAACCACTGTTCTAGCAGAATCATTTTCTTCCACTTCATACCTTTTTCATGCCAATGTCTCTTGACTTTGTCCTGAGCTTATTAACCTGGGATTCAGCAATCTCAGCTCGTTCTTCAGCATCATCCAGCTCATGTTGCTGTTTCCTATATTTTGCAAGGTATTGATTGGCTTGAGTTTCCTGTTGGGGGAAAATATATAAGGATATAACAATATTTGACTTTGACAATCAAGAAGCAAAGGTCCTCTGAAACACACAGACAAGACAAATCAGGTTTATACATAGCAAACTGCCTTTCAGATATATTGAACTGAAAGTTCTATTACATCTACTGGCCAGGAAGTTATGGGAATTGTAATCCAACACCCTTAAAAAGGCACTAAGCTGGAAAAGGCTACTGTAATTCATAGTTAAATATTTAATGATATTGTGCTGGAAAGCAATTTCATTTATACTAATCTTTGAAGTTACCAAGGAGGGACCTTTGGAAGTCAGGAATATTGATTTCAAGCCTTCAGTTGGAGAAGAGATGGCCTAGCAAAATTCAACAGTTTTTACGGACAGGAAAAAATAACAAATGTTCTAAACACAGAGGATTTTCACCAATTGTTGTAATGAATCTGTCCAGGATAATATAAGAATAACAGACAGATACACTGAGTTACATTTCACAGTTGGTTTATTTGGTTTTGGCTTTAGCATAATGAATAAATCTAACCATTGTGGTTTATAAAAGAGGCTTTTGGGAGGGATTTTTTTTATAGGAATAATGGTTCTTAATAGGATAAACCCCAGATCTGACATTATTTCATCTGCATTTAAATTTAATTAGAATTTTTTAAAAATTGTTTTCAGTCTTATCAATGGTGTCTACAGGGAGAACAAAAATAAGTCACAATGGCAATCACAATTGCATGATTGAACCTCTGTCAGTTTTTCTTTTTTAACCTCTTATAAATATCACTGAATGATAAATGAAAGCTTTTCTTCCTTTAAAAATATATTTTGATAATTTCTATTTCTATTTTGATATACCTTGGTATCATTTAGGGGATGCATATGGTTTTGGTTGTACATTTCTCCTTTATAGCCTAGGGTGCTGCATAAACCCAAATATATGTGGTGTATTTAATAAACTATGATTAAATCAAGATTTCTGAGCTGAATAATTAAACAACATATCAAAGTGTGGAATTAGCAAATGTCAGCAAGCAGAATTAAGATTTTATAAATATATAGGGAATTATTACTTTTTCAACTATAAAGTCAAAATTATCATCATTAAAGTACAGAATGGAATGCTGATCAAGCATGTCATAGACAGACTAGATTTATTTTAAAAGTTTAATACTTCACTCTTGTTGTGGCTAAATATAGATTTTGAATTTGCCCTATTTGTGTGTTGCCTTATTATATTTAAATTACATTTAAATATTTATCAGACTCTAATCTAATGAAAACTAATATAACCTTTTTCAAGTCTATTACAAAACTATATTTTCTGTTATACTTGTATTAATTTGCATGAAAATGGATTCTTCATTTACTTTATCATTTACATTTTACACTATTTTCCTTTTACCCATTTATTCTGCTTTACATTTATTGTGACCTATGATTGCAAAATATAATTTTTGATGGACAGTTTCATGTTCAGTGTGATGTTTTCAAGGGAGGAATTCCTTTCATCTTTATTTTCCAAAGCTGTTCCTTTGAACTGAGCAGCATCCACAAAATAGGGAACCAGTATTGGAAATTATAATATCTTTCCTTGTATAAGTGCACACACATAAGTCGATTTGTGACCCAACAAAAATAACACCTAGATTTTAAGGAAGAAACATAATTTAATTTAATAATTTTAACCTACAGATTACACTGCTGTAAGAAGACTGATCTATTTTTGAGAAAATCGTGTGTGTAAGTTGTGTATGCAACTGCTTCATGCCCTATGGGATTGCAGCTTACAGTAAACACACATATTGCTTTGTTTCTGTTCTGCAGGGTAATAAGCAAGATCTATCAATCTCTACTGAGGTAGAAACAGAAAATAGAGCGAACTCTTTTACGACAAAATGGCATCTTTTATCATGCTAAGATAAATGATTCCATCTCATAATGTATCATACATTTTCAATTCTAAAGGATGAAATTGTATTTTATACAATGGTACACATTCTAAGTGTAATTTCCTGTGTTTCTGATGTTTGGGCATTTCTTTAGCCAAAATGGCCTCATTGATGCAAAAGAGGACAATATAAGACAATCTAGGAAAACACCAGGATTTTTGGAAATACCATAAAAAGATAGAAAAGTGCTATCTAATAATATCTAGGAGAAAAGCAAAAAAATTATAAATGTACAATAATGATACTATACAACTTACAGCTTCTTCTGCTTGGTGCTTGTAGCTTTTTACTTTGAGTTGCAATTTATCAATTAGCTCCTGCATTCTTGCCAAATTCTTTTTGTCTTCTTCTGCCTTTTAATAAATAAAGGATTAACATCAGCAACCATGAACTATGCACCAAGGCTAGCCTAACAATGCTAACCAAAATGTTGTTTCTTAAGACATAAGTCTTTATTTTTATTAGATTTCCTCTTGCTATTCGTCTAGGTAGCTCAGGATAACCTACATTGGGTGCTCTATTTTATCTCATATCAACAAATGAGAGGCAAGGAAAGAATAGGCAAAGAATCACAGTTTCTTCCATAGCTGGAATAATATTTAAAAAATGGTAGTCCTCTTTCCTTCCAGCAAGCAATAAAATACAAACATGAAGTGTGTATTTAAATTAACCAAAATATCACAACTGTTCACATGAAAAGAAATGAGTGGATTAATAATACACACTTGCACATTTTAATTACTTTTTTTTAAAAAAAAAAATCAAGGGCACAAGTACAATGTTCATCATCTGCTATAACTGAAGATGATATTTAACACTGATACCCTCTGTTGGGACAAGAACTATAGGCCCAGTCTCCAACTTTGAGTTGGCTGAATTAAGGAACAATTAACTTTAATACCATTTTAGAGGAAAGTCTTCACACTTAATATGGAAAGAAGTATGTCATCTTCCAACACAGCAATCATGGATTCCTAATGTTTATTTTCTAACTGATACTATTAATCATTTCTGTTTTCCATTCTTGAAAGTTAACAGAAGTTATACTAAATTATTTAACAAAGATTAATAAGATAAATTAACTTATGCTATAGTAATGTTAACAATACTAATAAATAAACCTCTACTGTGGTAAAAAAAGTTCTTTGTCCTTGAATAATATAGTTATAATAATAATAATCCTGAAAAACAAGTAGTTCTTGTACAAATGTTTTATTATTTGCACAATGTGTTCACTTCCAAACAGTCACACTGATATTTCTGCATTCTATTCTAATCAGGAAGCATTCAGGATTTTAGAAGGAAATGGTAGTAGACAAGAAAAGGTCTAATAAAAGTAGAACCTTTTCTTTTTCTTTCTCTTCAACACCTCTGTCTTTATTCTTATAATACAAAGCTATTTTTGGCTATGCATACTAGATATAGGACAGAATCACATGCATACTTTAAGTTGGATTTTTTTGCATCCAATATTTCTTCAGAATTTCTAAAGAAATGTTGCTTTATGTACACGTGTGTACAGTATCTGGGGAAAAATGTGTTATTTTACTGCAATATTTTAATATTTTAACTAGAATTACCTGGTAAGTCAACTCTTTGATGCGTCTCTCATATTTGCGGACTCCTTTCTGAGACTCAGTATTTCGACGAATTTCTGCCTCTAGTTCATTTTCTAGCTCACGAATCTGCACCAGTACAGAAATATTGTTAGACTGGGTTTACCATAACACTAAGCTCAGGATGAACAATTTTGCATAGATTATAAATGTAATTCACTGTCCTGGTTATTGATAATCTTCCAATTAGTCTATGATGTCATCAGAGGGGATAATTTTGCCTTTTTAAAAGAGTTATGGAATGGGAAGAATGTCAGTTCATCTCTCAGAAAACTGATGTTCCCTTTCCCATTCTTAGTTAAACATTTTTACCTAAACACTATACCGATAAAATTCAGCTATATTGCTTCATGTTTCAATGTTATTATTTCAGCTTATTTTCTGGTAGATGAAAGGAGTTTTAAAGGTTCCAAAGACCTTATATTCCCATTGTCATATTTTATTTATTAGCTGCCCAGTGGAGTCTGAGCAGTGTACAAAACTGGAAAATCCATAAAAACAGGTATAATATCAAACCAGGTCAACAGCTCAGGCTACAGCAATGTTATAAACAACAAATCAAACAAAATAGAAATAGCTAAACAATAATATATCAATTCTAAGCCTAGGACCCTATTTGGCTTTTCAAAGATTTTCATAACCTTAAGAGAGAGAACACAGTCCTTATTTCTGGTGGGACGTTGTTCCAGAAGGTGGGACTGTGACAGAGAAGGCATTTTTTCCTTGATCTCACAAAGATGACAGTGTTTAATAGAAGGGACCTGAAGTGTATTCATTCTGCTGGGACATATCAGACAGGGAAAAATTATTGGAGACAAATGGTTCCTCAGATATCCAGTCCCTATTTTATCAAAAGATTATAATGCAATTCAATTACTTTGTTCTGAATTTGGTCCCATACAAATGGGGTAGGTAAGTTATATGTTGTGAGTTGTAAACCACATTTACAGTAAAATATGTGAAGCCAATGGGTTATGTGCCATTGAGTTTGTAATTCAGGAATTTAGTAATATATATTAGTCCATGAGATTATGGATCTGTGCAATCCAGTGATCTGCAAAAATGTTAGCACAAGGCAGCTATATAGCTAAATTATAGGAGACAAGAAACAGGATCCTTGAAAACGATACGGAAATAGAGGACTAAGTTAAGGAAGAGATATACTAGTTTTTCTTTGAATTAAAATACCAGAGAATCCATGCACAGCTCAGCCAATATGGAAGGTGGAAGGAAGGAGACTGCACAGCAGACTGAGATCAAGATAGGCAAAAAGAAAACAAGCTAAAGATCTGACCCGTGAAAGCAGCCAGCTACATGCAACATTGGTAGAGATAAGAGTGAATATATATATATGTGACACACAGGGAGAGTTGATACTAGAATATAGTTTAGTATTCTAGAAAGTTTGATTGCATCTGTACATATATCCATAAACTTCTTTCTATTGAAATAAGCAAAAATAAGGGAAGTTCACTATGAAAGGTAGAATGTTCTTTTGCTCTTGGATACCCTACAGGGGGAATTGCCCCATTGTGTAGAAGTTTTGGCACCAAAGCTGATGAATAGACATTTTATAGAATCTGCTTGGAAGACTTTTTAGAAGAATCAGTTCTTGAATTCAGGATTGCTTCTGATGTTATAGCAAGGGTTATATCTGCTTTAAAAATTCATTAAAGAATGGGTAAATATAATAATCATTTATTTATATTATTTTCTATCATTTTAAAAACATACTAGGTACTTTTAAATCAGTGGTTCTCAACCTTTTTAATGCGGCGACCCCCAACCGGTCGTAAGTCAAGGCCTACTCAACCGGTCATAAGTCGAGGACTACTCAACTGGTGCAGCACCGTTTGCAGAATTGGACTTTTGGCAAGCTCAGCAGGGCAGAGACAGCCTGGACAATTCCTATTGGCTTTTGAAAGCCAATAGAATTAGACTCTATTCAAGAGAGTCTATTCTATTGGCTTTCAAAAGCCAACAGAATAAAAGGGAGTAGCACAGCTAAGGAAAAGGGGGGAAAAATGGTGGACTGCGTTTTTTGGCGACCCCCGTGAAATGGTCGTTCGACCCCAAATGGGGTCCCGACCCACAGGTTGAGAACCACTGTTTTAAATGAAAGTATTCTAAATAACAATATTAACTCAGCCAGAACTGTGTTCTGAGTACACATTTTTGAAGTAGGCAACTACCACTTGATTTGATTTCAAGGAAAAATACCCTCGATTCCAGTTTCTGAATCTGCTTTTTGCCCCCTTTGAGAGCAATTTGTTCTGCTTCATCAAGTCTCTTCTGTAAATCTTTGATAGTCTGTTCCATATTCTTCTTCATGCGCTCCAAGTGAGCACTGGTGTCCTGCTCTTTCTTAAGTTCTTCAGCCATCATTGCTGCCTGGAATAACATAAAGTTGTGAAATGGTAAGTTCTACTGTACAACACCAAAATGAGTCTTTTCATTTTGATGATTTAATGGACATAGGAATTTAAAGCTCTAGATAAATTTTCACAACTAATCATAGATAATAATGGTCTAAATAATTTTTTTTTAATAACAAAGCAATTATTTATGCTGGAATAAAAAATGGGATGTCTTCTCACATCAGTGATTGCTTTTTTGGCCTTTTCTTCAGCATTCCTGCATTCCTGTATAGCTTCTTCCACCTCAGTTTGTATTTGAGTAACATCATTCTCCAGCTTCTTCTTCTGGTTGATTAGACTTGTATTCTTTTATTTCAAAAGGAAAAGGAATGTTCATTAGGACAGGATCTTTTGTAACACTAGAACAAGTGCCAATAAGATAAAGTATAACAGTAGCTTTATTCATACACATTCCTGGTAGTATAACTCATATTATTGTCATATTATCCCCAAGAGACACACATAAATCAGGTCAGTTTCTGGTTCAAAGTAGAATCTTCACATTTTTTGCAAGCAAAAAAACCCAACCCCTTCTAGAAAGCATGATATTATAAGGCTTCTTCATTAACTAGTTTGCAAAAAGATCACCAATATTGACTGATATGCCAAATCTATAACTTAGAAAACATCAGGAAGCAAGAAAAGAGTAATCTACCCAAGACAATACTCTTGGAAATATATTATTTCCACAAGAAAGAGCTATGATCTATCAACTTTCATGGAAATAGTGGGGTTTAAAGGAACTTAAATAAGATACATAATTCTTGTACTGAAATTATCTGGATATTCTCCAAACCTCTTGCAGCACAGAAGACCCTTAAAATTTGGATGGAAAAATGCCCAACAGAAAACAAGCAAGTAATGGATGTGTAAATAGTCCCTTAAGCACAAGGATTTTTTTAAAAGAAATGATCAGTCACATATGTGTACAAAGCCAATTTTCTTTGACCTAGAGGCCAAAAGATAAAATTTAAAATATTGGTCAGTGTGTAATATATACTTTATTCTTTCATATAGAAAGAAACCCTGGTGGATAAATCCATTATTTCCTATATAAAGGAATGTTGTTCCACAACAAGGAATCACAAAGAAATCAGTCCCTTATGGTAAATGTTGGATTTATTATCCACCAGGAGACGGAGAAAAGAATAGTAGAGCAGGCAGGCAAACCAACCTGGGTGTGCAGAAGGTTGACACGTTCAGTGGCTTCTAATAATTCTTGTTCTGCCAATTTACGACTACGTTCTGTCTGATCCAGCACAGCCCTCAGCTCATCCAGCTCAGATTGGAGAAGAGTATTACGTCGATCAGTGACTGCCAATTGCTCTTTGAAATCCTCATTAAGGTGTGTTGAATCATCAAGCTGCATTTGCAATTCCTGAAAGAAGATGAAATCTCACATATATCTGTCTATCTGTCTTTAGCTACAGCCATGGAATTCCTGATGTCTTTATTCACACCTAGGCTTAACTTGTGTTTTGTTTTTACTGAGATCAGCAAATATCATGTAAATATTTTTAGAGTTTCCTCTTATTATCTTGGAGTAGCTATAGCTTCTGTAGCCAGGTAGTAGCTTGAGCTACATAATTGTCACTAAGAGAACTAAGAGCAATTTCAAAATTGTGTTTTTTTAAAGTATTGGTTGCTTCCATGTCTGCTTCTTGAGAAGTACATTCTCCAAACATTTTGATTTTTTTTAGGGTTTTCTTCTCACAGGTGAGCAGAATATGCCATCTATAGTGATAGTTATAACTCCCTTCTACCTCTTTTGCCCACTTACTTAATAAATAACACAAGCTTGTGTGTTTTATAAATCTGTAGGCACATCATTCATTAAAAATATAAAAAGAAACATAGAGAGATGAAATTCAAAGTGCTCTACCACTTTTAAATATTTTGATACCTCACTTCCATCTAGTTTTCTATCTTTTTCTTTTCAGAGTAAAATAAATATGTTTTTAACAAATGCACGAAAAGGTCTGATTTATTTCCAAACAAGATAAAGAGATCTGAATTTTCTTTTTAGTTAAGAACTTTGAAATTCTAGCACATATGTACATACATACAAAGATAGCTACATACTTATATAATTCCTGTTTTTGTGCCTAATATGACCATTATATCTAAGGGAGTAGAAAGAGGAAAAATTAAAATGGAGGGGAAGGATATGAACTATATCCTGTTATAATTTGCATATTAATACGAATATGATTCAATGACTTGAAATTGCATTAATTGTGTGAGAAAGATAGGGCTTCTTAAGACTATTCAAGCTGCACATTCTTTAAGGAAAAATACTGATAGATATCGTGGCAAATGTATAGTCTCTAAACCATGTTTGCCAATGTACTGTAAAATGCAATTTATGACATATGTGGAAAAGGCCAAGTAGTTTGGCTGATGAAATTTTTTATTCCTCCACAGCCAACAATCTTCTCATACATGTTATTTTATCCAGGTGGACTTAATTGTTTTATTTTAGAATGACAGGGAAAAAAACATGTATCTGGCCATGGGTTGGCAATTTGAAATTTTCCTTACAACGCCAAATTTGAAACGTAGTACTATATGCTATCTGCGTCCGTTGGAGCTTTGCTATTGTTGTTATGATATACAGATTTCATTAACAATATTCATGGAATACCTTTAATTGAGCCTGAAGGATGCGTGTAGTCTTAATTGCTTCAGAAGCATGTCGGTTAGCATGGCTCAGTTGGACTTCCATTTCATTGAGGTCACCTTCCATCTTCTTTTTCAGACGGACAGCCTCGTTCCTGCTTTTAGCTTCAGAATCCAAGGTAGACTGCAGTGTGTCTATTGTACGCTGCTGGTTTCTCCTATTTTTGAAATAATATTTTATATAGATATACCTTTCATCCCAATCATCTTCAAGCATGTTTTTTTTTTTTTACTATCAGGAATGCTGTTATATTTTTGTCTGTCTATCAGACAAAAGACAATCTGGCTTAATTCTTAATTCTTAAAAAGTGATTCCAGTTTTTTTTCCTGTTTATTTCCTTTTGTTTATTAATATATCTTTTGTCAACATATTGTGCAGACAGTAATTATCAATCAGTCTTAACAACATTCTTGCAAATTAAGACAGCATGTGCAGATGGTTCAGCAGATTCATAAGCAGAAGTAAATTGCCCTCTTCTGCATAATGTGTTACTGGCAGAACAACTATGAAAAAAAAATCTTATGATGGTTAAAAAATATAGATCACTTGTATCTATAGTAAGTTCTTATTGATTTCATTGGATCTAGACTGGCATCATAATCTCTTTCATGGTTCTTTTTTCCCAATTGCTGTAGAGTCTACCTTTTAGTAGACCTTGTTTAGAACTGTGAGCTACTTAGAGTGGGATGGAAACTTAATAACATTATAAGTATGGAAATAATAATAGTTTAAATACAAATGTAATTATAACTGCTGTGGAGAAAAGGAGAAGTTACTTCTTTATAAATATACATTCCTTTATATCTTTCTTTATATCTTTTTGTGTTTTCTACCTTTTTCTATTTTTTTATTGATTGCACTGTTAGCTTTTTCTGATTTTTCTTTTTTGTTTTCTCTAATTTAGTTTGTACTCTTATTATTTTTAAAACATATACATATGTGTGTGTAATAATTACAGATTAAAAAATGAAATGTGAAGAAAGAAAATGCGTTCAGAAGGCTTTGATTGTATAGCTCTTAAATGGTTGGGCTTGAATCCCTATGAGTTCATTTATATTTGTGATTAAAAGTAGAACTGTTACTCTTTTACAGACAAGTATGTTTGCAACTTTAACGATAAATGTCCAGAAGAGAAAACCCAATTCTCTCAAGACTAGGAAAATGTAAGATATTGTATTCAGGTAGAAATCTGTTCAGTGTTCTTTTTCTCTCTTTAAAAATACTAACCAAAATTTACAAACTAGGACACAAACACACCACACACACACACACACACACAAAGAAATTTAAAATTATTTGAATGAATACACAAGTCTGACAGATTCACCCATTCGGCAAACTAATTTTTAGATTCTGTTGCACTAGGGCTATTAGATCTGGATGGCAAAAATCCAGATAACCACTGGATGGAGACAAAGTATTGGAACTGCTTTTATGTCTGCTATTTGTCTACAATTTTTCAGGCTGGATCCAGCCATAGTTAAAATTAATAAGGGCAGTCAGTCATCTTAAATCATAGTAATCTCTTTTTCAACAGGAAAATGCTCTAAATAACCTCCCTTATTGGGGTATGTCAAATGACATCACCTGCTAATAGCACATATTCACATAAATATCATCTGCTCTTTCCCACAATGGACTTAACACCAGGGGATTGGCCCATTCAAATTGATGGATGAACTTTGGGGTATGGTTTGCTTGGGACACTTTTAATCTATTGATCTGAGCGGGAAACCCTCAGATCCTGTCTATTATGCCTGCTATCAGCTTCTCCTAATAAAAGTTCCTTTTGGAAGAAACTGCTTCCACAAGTTCTGCTTTCTTAGGATGAGGTTTTCAAGTGGGCCCTGACACTGCCCATATGTTCAGCGCTTTCAATAATGAACTCCTAAACAATGCTTAAGAGACAGGTTCTAAGCCAAAATTCCATATATTGTTTGCAGTTAGTACCAATCCAGTCATGTATTTTGTATGACATGTTGTGTAAACGTTTATCATACTGTACCTGAAGTTTTCAATTTCCTCATCTTTTTCTGCCAATTTTCGTTCAAAATCTGCTTTAATTTGGGAAAGTTCCAGTTGAAAACGTAATGTTTTGCTTTCTTCATGCTCCAGAGCTCCCTAATAAAGATGCACAATATAAATTAAGGTTAAATGTCTTTAAAAAAAGAAAAATCACCACACCATATGCTATGGTAGCTGAAAGGTACAATCCAATATTCTGGTCAGTTGCAGAGCAATCATTATGATAATACTGAAAAGTACAGACAAAAGGTTTCTAACTATTGGTATTCTTTATCATAATTAGCCCCAGTTTGCAACATTTTTACATGCAAGGGTTATTCAGAGCAGATAATCTTGTCATCGTCACCCTACCTGATTTGTTTGTTTGTTTACAGATGCCTTAGAGTTTGTGTCGAATCCTGGTGACTATACAGATCAGTCCTTGCAGTTTTCTATGTTTTCAAAAGTGGTTTTGTTGTGCAGGCTCTGAGGTGCCTGCCTTCTTTCAAGAGCGAAGACAAAGTGACTGGTATAATGTCATTCAACTGATTACTTGCCTAAGGCAGGACTAGAACTCAGATTTTTCCTTTCTGACTCCCTATTTCAGGGGTGAAAAACTGCTGGCCTGCAGGCAAAATGCATCATAGCAAAACCGCACCCACCACATTGCTGGCAATGGCAAAAAAGTAACGATACATCGCGACATGTCACGTGACGTTGTGAGTTTGACACCCCTGCCCTATTTTAATCATTAGATCAAACTACCATCAAAGAGAATGAAATGTCCATTAGGGGCAATTCAGCTTGGGTATCATAAAAAGGGAGTAATCTGTTAGTAATTTGATTTACTACTGTTTTATTTTTATTGCCAGGATGAGAAGATGTACATGTAATTTATTCTAATAATTGCTTTTGAATGACCCCACAACTTGACTTGATATCAGGATGATAACAAGATATTATCTGATATCCTCTTCTGGTAGCAAAATGTTTTTGGCTTAGCAGTACATGTGTAAGACACCATTTGGTCTGTCTAGATTAAGTCTCTCCTTAGTCATAGCAGGCACACACGGGTATGTAGTAGAGTTGAAGGTTAATTCCCTCCGGGCTATCAAAGCTTCCTATAATAGCACTAAAATATTTACCTGGGCATTTTTATGTGAACTTGATACATTATTTTCCATTTCTTTTTAATTTGCATATGCAAATTATATCTTTTCATTCATTTGCTCATTTCTCTATGTTGCATATATTAAAATAGAGGCTTTTATGGCTAGCATTAAGATCTAGCATGAATAAACTGCATGGTAATGTACTATAGAAAAATATGTGCTGAGGAATGACAGGAAAAAGGGTTATGGAACCGGATGAGCTTTCATGCATCAAAACCAGTCAACTAATGAATACATTTTTCATGTAACAAAAGACAATTCATAACTATTAAGATTTTTTTAGATTTTGTGGCCAAGATTCTAAAAAAAGGCTAAAGTTAATTATTTAACAGAAAACAAAAATATAAAATCCTGCAATAATAATTCCGTGATTTTCATTATATTTATTTTTCTAATTTAGTTGCCTATTGCATTTTAAACTGGTTTTTAAAATAGAGCATTGTGCAGCAAAAGGATTAGTATAATTCATTAAGTTCCCTCTTGACTTTGATGTGGATTGAACATTTGTTTTTCTATATAGTGTTATGCCATCTGACTAAGATATTATACCCTGAAATTCTGTAAAATGAAATAAATTCAATCTTTGGATATATATGCTTATCAGGTGTTGTTATTCTAGTACAACTCTGTCAACGGATTGTAAGCAACAGTATTGCTAATGAAGGCACATGTTTATCTGATTTTAGTCATCTGTCAAATGGAATCATTTTAAGAAACATTTTTTGTTCATGAAGGGACTGCAGAGAAACTTGTTTATGATTTATTAAGTGCTCATACCCACAATCCCCAGTCTTTATTCTCTCACACACATTCATATTCATAAAAAGTCTGTAATATATGGCAACACTTTATTGTGGGGCTTCATTTGTTAAATTTAGAAGTTATTGACTATAATATTGAGGAGCAAAAACAATGTAGGAATTAATATATGAACATGCTGGAAGTAAGAATCTAGTTCTAGTTAGATTTTCTCTTTATCTCAACTGTCTTTACTTTTTTTTCTGTTTTCCCATTGTTTTTCTGTATTTGTGAAATACATAATGCTCTTTACTCTGGAAAAGAATAGCATGATGTATGACTATGTATTAAGTGATTGAGATGGACCTTTACCATGCAGGACAAAAGCCGAAGGGCAACAAAAGTTTTTCATCACCTTGTGATGGGCAAGGGATCACATTGAACACTTGGGGAAAGCAGACTGTACTGGACAGGACAATGGATTTAAAAAAAACAACAAAAAACACTAGGTTAAGCTTATTTCAGCACTTGTATGACAGTTTCTGAATATCTCCTGCAGATTTTCAAAATTGTCATTAGAGTCCACCAGAAAGACACTGCAAGGGCATACATGGCCCTTGGTTCTTAGCACCGGATGACTACAAAATGCATTGCTTAGAAAACAAAAAGAAAAATCTTCCTTGTAGTTTTATGGAACAGCTCTTTTTAATGAGCATGCCAGATTGCATTCTAGATTGTTTTATCAAGGTAAAGTTTTCAAATCACCACATATGATGCTCAGGTAGATCCTATTCTATCTGTGTTGCATATATTATATATTGAAGTTGTGTGTGTGTGTGTGTGTGTGTGTGTGTGTGTGTATGCATACTATATATATATATATATATATATATATATATATATATATATATATATGCATACTACATATACATATACATATATGCTTGCTTCAAAACTGTGGAACTGAGCATGCTGTTCCTCTGCTATAATACCAAAAACCTTTTTATTTGATGGGGAAATCCCTGCAAAGTATAAGGTAGCCTGCAAAATTTTAAAAAAGAAAGACAGATTAATAAAATAATACATATGGCTGATTAAGAGCTTATTTTCAGTATCAATGCATTCCAAATGCTGCTAAATAAAGAAATGGTGTATGTCCCTTTTAAAATACATAAATGATTTTTTAAAAATTTAATATATGATAGTGCTATTGAATGTATTCAGTTAACTTGTTATGTAAACAGATCATAATCACATACACTAAATTATACTTAAGAGAGCACAGATGAACATAGATATTAAAAGATGAAATCAACCTGATGATTACCATTTTACAAAAACACAGAAAAACATGTCTTGGCTGGAAATTTCTAACAATTAGATGGCAGAAAACACCTGGATATTTTCAGCCAAGGCAAATGAATGTGATTTTTAAATATAATCGTTTTTCCATACATTTACAACAATATTGGATATCTTATTGGCCAATTGGGTAACATGAGAATTTGGATTACAGCCAAAGAACAAGAAGCATTTATCTCTGAATCTATATAGCACTATAATTACATGGCTTTATAGCCATTTTCACTTTTCCAGATTGCCCAAGAGGTTGTACAAAGTAAATAAGATTTCCAAATTTATTTTCACTTTGGGATGAGGCATAAAAACACCACTTTCAAGAACAATAAAGGCCCCACAATTGTAACAAGTTACTTTTGATCCAATGTTTCATTGGCAAATTGACCAAACTCCAACTTTTGCTTGTAGATTATATTTTGTTCATATGACACATAGAATTGCAAACTGTCCAACCATAATATAGTTTAGCGTGTTGGGCAATTATAGGGTGCATGCTTAGTTTATAATTCAGACTATTGTGCCCAGGATCAATTAGGTAAACCATGCATTTATGAATATGTCCTCAGAACAAGTCAGAAGTAGTAAATTGGCAAGCTACATAATGTGAAATATGTATTTACATTTACAACCTTTTAAAATTGAAGCTATCTCTAAATATGCAACTGATAATTATCTCATTGTAACAGTTGGAAGAGAAGATTTAGCCCTTTCTTCTTTTGATGCAGTCTTAAGAAAAGCACTTCCTCAGAAGCTGGTATTAGCTACACTTCACTGGGGACACAGCAGGAATTTCCTGAATTCAAAGGCCAGGATTTCCCTCAAGATTATAGTAGAGGAGAAAAAGAATCAGAGCGTCCCTCTGTCTGCCTTCTTTGATTTGGATAATTATCATCTCCCCTGGCTTATCCATTAGCATGTTAAATGCAAAGTCAGTTTAAAATTATGCAAATTTGATCCTTAATTGTTTTACTAATTTACCTTTCCCAACAAATTATGTCTCATACAGAACAATTGTTTTCAAGTTCCCAGTCTTAAGAGAACTCTTTCAACATTGACTTTAAGGCTTTATTTCTACAACATTAAGACTACCAGATTTGGGAGGCAAATAGCAACAACTACTTCTGGTAGCAAAGAGTTCTGAATATTTGCAGCCCAGTTTAGGTCTCCTTCATGACTCTGGGCTCATCCCAACAACCTCCTCACCCTACTGTGAGTGCATCGCTTCCTCTGGATGTGCTCTCAGTGGTTCTCAGTTCTAAAAATGATATTCTCATAATCGTACCTATGAGCCATTGAGGTCATATCGATAATGTAGGAAAGGCAAGCTGAAATGATGTTTTCTGTATCGACTTTGTTGTAATCAGTTTCCCAAAGGATTCCTGACCTTCCACTCCTCAATCCTTTTTTGATTGCATCCCAACTCTTACAAACACTTTTCATTTTGTCAGAAAAGCATTTGACCAGTCCAGATAGATACTGACACATCCCTAAACCCCACTAGCCTATCTCTGGCTTAAGGTGTACATGGGCAAGGTGTATGACAACTTGCCGCAGCCAACTTACCACAGGACAACTCACCATGGGACAACTCACCAAGGGACAAGAGTTACATAATATCGAAGAAATAGTGAAATAGAATCATTAAAGAAAGGATGCCAGGGAGGAACAAAATGAAATATGAATGACAAACATTAAAATATTTTTTCAATTATTTTAAATAATTAGATTGAATTGTTGAATTGTCCTGCAGCGAGTTGTCCCATGGAGAGTTGGCCATGGCTAATTGTCCCATTATGAGATGGCTGTGCTGAGTTGGCCATGGTGAATTGACCATGGTAAGTTGACTGTGGCGAGTTGCCCCATTCTGACATAGGCAAGTGTATCTAAAAGAAATCAGCTCTTGTGATTCCTCTGGAGTTTTTCCCATCATCACAACAGCCACCCAATCACAGAAGTTCCTCTGTATCATAAACTCATTAGTTTTATACTGGGGGCAGTGTGCCACACAATTTTGTTTATTATTTTAGGTACCACAAAGTTTTAGAAATAGTTCCATTCTAATAGGAGAGTATTGGCCAAGTTACATAATATCACTAGTCTATTCCATATTGGTTAAGTTGGCAGCAGTAATGATTGGTAAGTAGCAGTGCTTCAGATACTAAAGTTGAACTAAAACTTCCAAGATTTCTCATTATAAGCTTGAGAGTTGTAGTTCAGCAATATCTACACAAATGCACACACATCCTCTTACAAGGATGTTTAATATTCTTAGGAAGTAATTTTAACAATGGCATAGAAACTGCATTTGGGGAAGAACTTGGGGGTTGTCTTATACGCCGAGTCATCTTATACGCCAAAAATAAGGTGGTTTCCGGCGTATAAGATGACTTTCTAGACATGCGACTCGATGTCCATCGTCTTATACGCTGGAAATAACGTAGTTTCCGGCGTATAAGATGACTTTTTAGGCATGCGACTCGGTGTCGATCGTCTTATATGCCGGAAATACCAGTCGTTTCCAGCGTAGAAGACGACTTTCTAGGCATGCGACTTGGTGTCGATCATCTTGCGACTCTGCATCAATCGTCTTGCGACCCGGCATCGAACTAGGGGGTCGTCTTATACGCCGGGTTGCCCTATACGCCGGAATATACGGTACATGCCAAACATTCATAGCAAAAAAGAAAAAAATTCCTATACAATATTTTAACCAGGAACCATATCTTTAGTCACCTGGCAAGAGATGGTTACTGCCCATACAGGTAAATTGCTTTTCTTTTATTTGAAGGAATATATTATACAATAACTACTATATGACAAAAGCATATAAAATGTTAACTCTTAATTCAGTGATTCAAAGTGATAATTCATGATGCAAGCTACACCATTTCATACATGTGTCATGATGTCATGCAGAAATATATAAGGGGCAGAGTTTGCATCAAGTCATCATGATTTGTCTTTTCTTGCTGCCTGGGTGTATCTATAAAAAGATTGTCCAAATCTTTATCTTACCTCAGCTTCTTCTAGGGCTAGCTGGACTTCTGCTTTTTCTTGTTCAGTCTGTTTCTTCATTTTCTCTAATTCATGAAGGTTCTTGTTTCCTTCGCTGATCTGATCGGTTAGATCTGAAATTTCCTCTATAAGAATTTTTAAAAACAATAATGAAGGAATAAGGATCTGAAGTCCTTTCTTTCTTCTAAACCAATATTTGTGCACATGCATGTGTACACTTTTGTGTTCATGTGTGCTGAAAAGCTGAAAGATGTTGAATGCTTATTTTAATTAACAAATTTATATGGCTGTCCATTTCAGTAGCTCTGGGTGGCATACAGTAATGAATTAAATTGAATTGAAACCGCCCCCCCCAAAATCCATTCCCTCCCACCTGCCCCTGTGGCTGCAAACAAATCAAATAAGCTATTTGATCAGCTACTTGACCTAAGTATCAACTTAGGTCCCCAAGTTCACTGACAGAACTATGACCACAGGGTCTTTTGAAAAAGTAGCAAGGTGGGGGCAAATTTTATCTCCAGGGGAATCTTGTTCCACAAGGAGGAGCAGGAGAAGGGCCTATTTTTGGTCCCACCCGATGTATTTATTTAACAGGTGAGACACACAACATGCCCTGCTTCCTGCTCTAGTGGGCTGGGTAGATGTAACTGGAGAAAGGCTCTCCTTCAAATAATTTTGTCCCAAGCCATGTAGGACTTTAAAGGTGATAACCAGCACCTTGAATTGTACCCAGAAGCAAATCAGCAGCCAAAAAATCTCAGCTCTGCAAGAGAGGTGAAACATTCATAAATTTGGGCTTGCACAAAACCATACAGATCATTGAATTTTGAGCCAACTGAAGCTTTCATATACATTCCAAGGGTAGCCCCAGGTAGAGTGCATATTACAATGCATCATTGGTTTCTACAAGGCAGAATAAAAAGAATCTCCAAGTTACGTCAATTAAAACAATTAACTTCCAGATAAATATGAGATATTTGTATAACCATACTGTTATTTTTGATGATGATTTTCATTCATGGATAATATTCTGGTCATATCGATCATATTTCAAAAAATGGACATGATAGAGCACTTGGACCAATAAAAACACTTGGGAACCAGCAAGGTATCTACAATATCTAACTCTCCCCAAGCTGAAAATTGTCAATGCTGCAAATACTGTATATTCTTGCTTTGACAATATGCAAAACTGTCTGGCATTTATTGGGTTAATACTTAGCTTAGACTGGGCGGGGGAAAAAAGCCCGGGAAAGAAAGAGGAAGTAAACGTTTGACCTTCTCACTAATTGGATAATGTGACCTGTGACTGCATGAGAAGGGAGGGGTTGAGCAAGGAAAGCTTGATGCCAGCGACCGGAAGTTCAGATTCTGGCATCAATTAGTCCAATGGTGACCGGCATAATTTGTAGCTCTGCAAATAAAGACTTTAGGAAACATGCCTGAAAGTTCTTTGAAGTGCTTCATTAGTCGGAACTTGTGACATTTAAATCAGACATAAGAACTTGCCATCTGCACTGCTACAAGAGTGATACTCCAAACCCTATTAACTGTGCATACCTGCCCATGCAGCATCAAAGAGACTGACACCATTTCACATGTATTACTACAGATATCAAGTATGTTTATATTCTGCCCCTAATACTGTATATACATTTCCAGGAAGACCAGACAATTCCATGTGAACTATCTTCTAGAGGATTTCAAACTGCTTATCACCTGTGCAGTAGCTAAATTCTATATTGCCGCCATGAAAAAAGCATAACTTTTATAGGGAGAAAAAAATCACTTCTGTTTTATTTATCAGTTTCAATTTAACATGTACAAGCTATTTTTTTAGATTATATTTTTTTACTTCACAGTCTGTAATGTTTTAGATTTACACTTGTAAAAGTATTTAATGCATTATAGCAGTGTATGTCACATTTTATTAACCATTATATATATATATATATATATATATATATATATATATATATATATATATATATATATATATATATATGTAGGTCTTTGGTTGTTCGGGTTAAGTTACAGAATAAGTCCAACTCCATAACCCATGACTCCCATGAGCAAATTTGTGGTTATTTAAGTATTGCTGTCACCCAGAGATTCAGTAGAATGGTCCCACTCTAGCTTTCTGGAAGCCAGGAAGACCTGTCCCATCGTGGTTGCCATGGGAGGAAGTTGGAAGTCATTCCTGCTCTTTCTGTTTTTCTGCCCTTGTTCATTCTATTTCTCTTTAGGTGAGAAATATCTTTGAAATTATGGGTCACAGATTGTGTGATTCACATATAAAGAGGGATATGGGATTATTTAACAGTGGATTATTTCACTGAAAATAATCATATTTTCTGTGCCATGCTTTTCTATGTTTTGGTATCCTGGTCCATTATGTGTGGACACTGTGTTCCCTTGTTCTGGTAAATGAGTACCATCTATTTATAGTTTTATATTAGATATCTGTCTATTCTACCATTCTAGGAACTTAATGAAAGTTCTTTTTTGGTTATTCAGAGGTGAAGTTCCAGATAAATAAATCCAGATTACACCTGGAACTTTATTTACCCTCCTTTCAGGAAGGCAAATTGCTCTGTATCTTTGTGGGTTAAGGCTTCTTCCTTATGCAAATTATTCATGACTTCTCTGCAGTACCGTTAATAACAAATAACCTACCTTGGAGATTCTTGTTTTCTCTTTTTAAGGTTTCTGTATTGTCTAGGCTTTCTTCATATGCATTCTTTAGTTTAAATAATTCTGTACTGAGGCTTCTAGATTCCTTCTGGGCACTCTCAAGCTCTGCTTGGGACTCTTCATACTTCTGTTTCCATTCTGCAATAATCCTGTCAAAATTGCGCTGCTTCTTGTCCAGAACTCCTGCTGCTGAGTTGGCCTTTTCCAAGTCAATCATTATGTCCTCCAATTCATTCTGCAGTCGATATTTTGTCTTTTCCAGAGATGAGCATTTGGCATTGGCAGCCTCAATGGCTTCCTCTGCCTCCTGGAGACGAGCTGCCAATTTTTTCCTAATAGCAGATATTCATAATAAATTAACCCATCGAAAACATTTCTGACTTTTTACAAAAATCAAGCAATCTAGTTTTCAGTTAGTGCTATTGAATTTTGATTGTTACATATTGGCAAAATGTGTTCCCAATACCATCAGGGGTTTACATGTTTACATAAAATTGGTTTACGTTTTCTGCTATAGTTTCACCACTAGGTTCTACTTTTCTTTTCCATGTATTCATGCCAGTTTATAAAAAGGATATAGTGAAAAGTTAAGCAGTAACTTTGATGTCTCTTACTTAGCTTCTTCTAGTTCTTCAGTTCTTTGGATGGCATCTGTTTCATATTTAGTTCTCCATTGTGCTACTTCTGCATTCCCTTTAGAAAGTGCTCTCTGCAACTCAGCCTTAGCTTCTTGTTCCTCCTCAAACTGCTCACGCAAGAGGTCACAGTCATGGCGAGCACCCTGCAGAGCATGGGCCAAAGCATTCTTGGACTGCAGGATAAAGAAACTGGAATTAGCACATTTTGTAGCAGAAAAAGGAGCTACAATTGGAATAGTAACTAGCAAGTTCCTGTGACTGATTCCCAGTTTTGCATCTTATCTTTTAGATGTGAAATTCTCATTAATTACATTATATTACTTGATCCATAACAACCTTTATTCTGAATTTATAATCCCATTCTGTATTTTAAGTGTTGTGGTGGCGCAGTGGTTAGAATGCAGTATTACAAGCTACAGTAATTCTACCGACTGCTAGCATTTCGATTCTCACCAGCCTTCCACCCTGCTAAGGTGGGTAAAATGAGGATCCATATTGTTGGGGGAAATACACTGACTTTGTAAACTGCTTAGGGAGAGCTATAAAGCACTGTGGAGCAGTATATAAGTCTAAGTGCTATTGCTATTTACACAAATATTGACAAATAATGATGTGATTTACACAAATCAAAAACAATAATGGATAAATTTGTCCTGTTATGCAGATCAGTGCAGTTCCATTGCACTGACATGAAACATGTGATTCTGGACTTATTCACAAACTCTCACAAAATGAGAAATTTTCTCTGTCTCAGAATCATGTCAGCATTCCTAATGAAAGCATTACCTTGGTCTCTTCCTCTAGCTGCCTTTTAAGTTCATCTATTTGTTGAGTGAAAGACAATTTCCCTCGAGAAAGTTGGTTGATAAATGATTCTTTTTCTTCCAGCAGCCTCGTAAATTCACCTGCCAGAGAGGTATCAAAACCAATAATAAGCATATGCTTTTTATGATAGGAAAGCAGGATAGAATATATTTTGCTACTTGAAGCAAATATGCTATCAGTTCAGATTATTCTAAAGTAAGATTGCCCTTAAGACACAATGGGATGGTCTGAGATAGTAAATTGGGTGTTTCATGGTACAAAACATTTGCAGGCTGGCTCAGAATTTGCCAAAATTGGAGTTATGTTAGGAATCTAAGAAGTCCTCTGGTCACAGAGAAAGCAAAGGAGAAAAACAATGTGATGTTGGACTGAAAAGATGCATAAAAGTGAAGTTTCAGGTTAATGCATAATGCACATATAGTAGCTGTGCTAGTCAGGATATTCAGTTTCATTACAAATGCATCTCCATTGACTTCTACTATATATGAATACTTATTGCAAACAAACTAATTCTTGCATGCAAAAACTGAAATAAAGAGTGGAAGCGTGGTTTAGTATTTCTGTTTGGAATCCTTAATCAGAAACCTGTATATAAATTCATAAACCAATGTCCAGGATTCAAAGAGCAAACCCTTTTCCTCATCAAGTGGTTTTGACTTTATATAACTGCTTTGTGGGCATTAAAGAAATGCAAGTATTCAATGCATTCTTATTTGGAATAGTATTTTGCTTTTAAAAAATTATTAAACACACTAATAAGAACTATTTCTCTAATAGCCAAATGGGTTGCTGCAGTATTCAGGCCAAATAGTTCAATTTTAAAAGCTGAATATGAATTAGCAATAGAGTGTACATGATAAACAAAGTATATTGTGTACCTATTTAGATGCTCAGCTACCTAAAAGCTTCAACAAAGGAAGTATGAATGCTGTCCCTAGCCCTTTCATCACATTCAACCAGAATTCTGAAGAGCATTTGCGTTTACTGTGCAGCCTGTAAGGAACTCTGCTGTATTAGGGTTTAAATTGCACTTCTTGCTTACTCAACAAATTCAGCATTTCTCCAGTCCACTGATAAATGCATATAGCAGTATTTCTCAAACTCAAAACCTCCGAGTTGCTTGGGGGGGGGGAGGAGAGATAAAGTTAACATAGCTTAAAATTGCTAAATTAAGAAATACTGTCATAGAGATTAGGATAAGATAGATAAGAGTCGTCTTATTGGTGAAAGGCACAGCATATAAATAAAACAAAAGATACCCAGGCAAAATGGAACAGAACAGAATGGAATGGAACAGAACAGAACAGAATAGAAGGTAGTCCTTCTAGAAGATTGCAAAAGATGATCACATGACCTCAGGACACTGCAACCGGGATAAATACGGACCAGTTGTCAAGCATCTGAATGTAAATCACATAACCATCGGAATGCTGTAACAGTCATAAGTGTGAAAAATCACTTTTTTCAATGCTGTTGTAACTTTGAACAGTCTAAATGAGCTGTTGTTAGTTGAGGACTATGAATAGAACAGAACAGAATAGGATAGAATCTTTATTGATTTAATCATTTGAACATATCATAAGTATAAAAGTAATACAAATATAAAAGTAGATACAAGGAAAACAATAGGACATGTTCACAGTAAGTCGCCAGCCTATAGTTAATTTCAGTCTGATCTAAATATTCTGATTTCTTTGAAATGACCTTTGGTACAAAGAATGCTGTTTTATTAGTGATATGCAGGTTTGTTCCCTGCAAAAAGTCAGACATCTTCTCTCGGGTACCATTTTTAAAAGTTTTTAAATAAGAATCTAAATAAACTGCCCTTTTAGTAGAATACAGTCTGCAGTCAAAAGGGATGTGTCCAGTGTCTTCAACAGCTGTGTTCCACAGAGTCTTCCTTTAAGTCAAACTCCATGAAACTTCCCATAACTTATCATTGTGCCTAGTTTAAAACAAACTCTAGAAAAAACTCTTCTGAGATGTTGAGATATATGAGGCAGATTTGTGTGGAGAAAAAGTAAGATATAACACAACAATAAGAATTGTACAGAATTGTCCAATAACTTACCATTCTCAGCTTGCAGCTTCCCTTTCTGCGCAGTCAGATCATTTATCACCCGAGTCATTTCATCCACTTTAGTCTTGGCCTCACTGAGATGATCTTCAAAAGTACGACAGAGTTTCTCTGCATTTGCCTAAAGCAATAGAACAAACTTACTTAATGGAATGTCTGTCAGCCGCCTAGAGTCACTTCTGGGGAGATGAGAGGCATACAAGTTTAATAATAAATAAATGAAATCTAAATAGAAATTATCGCACTCACCCTGAACCTATACACCTTAGATACTGTTAAATTTGGCTGGAAAATATTAAAATAGCATGCTAATAAATATTTAACTAAAAGAAAAAAATCTGACTCAATATTTTTTAAAAATTGTTATTATATAATACAAATTAGCTGAGTCATAGTCAAAACCTACACATCTAAAATGCTAAAATCTTTTAATAATATAATTTCAACATTTTAATACTTCCATCTACAAAGATAACCTTTTGTTTTTTTTCTCAGATTATAATAAAAAATTGCTCCAGCTATGTATCAACCAAATTATTACTTTCCCTAATTAATATTTTACTGGAATTATATCCCCAAAAGCAAACATATAGGAATATATGATGACATATGAAATGAAATAAATCATTTAATTAATAATAATTTGGAATTATTTGACTGAATTCATGAGATGAAGTATATTACTTAGACAATAATATGGTTCTGTGAGTCTTAGACATTCTTTTAGAAACTCTTGTCAGTAGCTGGGAGAAAAAAAAATATCCTTAAGGAATATTTTACAATTCTTCCACACATCATTTATTATTAAAGAAAAGTAAAATGGAAGCTTTTGTGAAGAACATGATGTGATCTTATAATAAACTGTCACCTACTTCTGTCAAAGTCCATAAAAGGTACTAGCTTAAAATTTCTGCAAACGAATTCAGAAAATGTCAAAGCAGTTTGTGGTCACTATTTTAATACTCATTTAGCAACTGTTTATTTAATAACTAATGTTTTAGTGGCTAATTTAGTGACCAGTTACAATGGAGGTTTATAAAAGAAAGAAAGCTGAAGTAAGATCTGAAATTAGAGTTTTGGATAGTGAAAAAAGGTAATATATTCTCTCACTTTGTGTGTTTGTGTATATACACACACATACACATAGTATATACTGTATAATAGTAACATGGTACCCAAAGATGAGCAACTGAAAGAATGCTTGGGGCAGGCTATAGATAGCTGAGGTGGCAAACATTGGGGACGGACTAAAAGACAGCACTGAGACACTGATCATAGCAGCAGAAGAACAGGCACTAAGCACCAGATCCATAGAAGTAGAAGTCAGCCACATTAGACAGGACCTGAGGTGCAGACTATGCAGAGAGGTCTCAGAGACAGTCCAACATATAGCAGGGTGTAAGATGCAGGCAGCAACAGAACACATCGAGTGGCACAACTAAGTAGCTGGAACTGTGTCCAGGAACATCTGTACAGTGAATGGGCTAGATTCCCCCAAGTCCAGATGGGAAATTACACAGAAAGTCATGTATAATTGGAATAGAAGACAAATGTAATATATGCAGCAGTGCCAAGTGACAGCAACATCAGGAAGAAGGCGTATGGGAAGTTGGAGAAGTACCAGGGCCTAAAGGAAGAACTGGAGAGGATATGGAAAGTAAAGACCAAAGTAGTCCCAGTGGTGGTAGGAACACTTGGGGCTGTGATTCCTAAGCTGGGAGACTCCAAAAGATCCCAAGAACAATATCAGAGCTCTCTGTCCAGAAGAGTGCAGTGCTAGGGACAAATAAAATCCTGCACAAAACCCTCAAACCCTCAGGCCTCTGGTAGAGCAGTGGCCCCCAACCTTTTGGGACTGGTTCTGTGGAGAGAGGTTTTTTCCGCAGACTGGGGGTGGGAGGAGGGGACATGGTTTTGCATGCTGCCTACATCCCATGGATAGGGCTTTGCTTGTTTGCGCGACCAGGTTTCTGGCATGCCACGGCCCCGGGCCGGTCCATGGAATGGGGGTTGGGAGCCCCTTGGGTAGAGGACCCAAGATTGAGAAAGATACATACTACCCATAGGGGTTACAAGGGATTTTTTTAAAAAAATGTATGTGCATGTGGGAGTGTTACCCCTAACACAACATAATATTTCTTGAAAAAACAGTTAGGAACAGCAGTGTTCATAGAGATTCCAGTTGCCAAAAAAGTCAAGATGGAGACCATGTGATCAAAACCCCTTCCTTTTTTTATCTGCATCATAACCCGTGTAAAAAAAGGAGTTGGACTTTGATCTCATAGATCTGGTCACCATTTTGACCTTTTTGACCCTCCTGTAGCTCCCCACTCCATGGAAGGATTATACTTAGAGTCTATCTATATCTCTATATCTACTGCATCTATATCTCTATGTCTCTATAGGTCCCCATTCAAACTTTCACATTAGATTGATGGCTTTTACCTTTCCCTTGACCAGCTGCTCCATGTTGGATGATAAATCATCCACCTCTAACTTCAGCTCACTTTTCTCTTTCTCCAGTTTTTGTTTGACTCTCTGCAAATTGTCAACTTGTTCCCCAAGTTCTGCCATGCTGTCTGCATGCTTCTTCCTTAGTGTAGCTGCAGTAGCTTCATAATGCAAAGTGGCTTCTTCAAGGTCCCGTCGTAGTTTGAGAAACTCTGCCTCACGTTTCTTGTTCATTTCCAGCTGTGCTGAAGTAGCACCCCCAGCTTCCTCTAGTCGCTCACTCAATTCTTCTAGTTCTCGGGCCAGATCTGATCGCTGCTTCTCCACTTTCGCTCGGGCAGCCCTTTCTGCTTCCAGTTCTTCCTCCAACTCCTCTATACGGGCCTATCAGACAGATTAAAAAATAAACTTTTACACAAAGGGCAATACTTCGGTATTCTACTTATATATACTAAAAACTGTACGTACGTATGTACGTATGTATGTATGTATGTGTGTATGTATGTGTGTGTGTATATATATATATATATATATATATATATATATATATATATATATATATATATATATATATATTGAATGTATACCTAACTCTGAACCTTATTCACAGCTCTTTCTTTACCTAGCTGAATATGAATCTGAGCTTCAGGCCTTTCAAAGTTCTGTACCAACTTAGTAGGCTGAAAAATTGGGTGAACAATTACTTTGACTTTCTTGAAAGGAAAGAGAAATCCTTCAATAATCTATTAAAGGACAAGACTTCCTCTTAGCCATGACAGTACACTACTAATCAAAAAGCCCCAAGAGGTAATTCCTTTATAATGGACTTTCTTGGGATTTACTGATATGTGTACAGCTTGGGAGGCTGTTCAGTAAAATGGCAGGATACATAGAGCTCTTTTGACCATCTCTCTGTTCAATAAGTGCAAATATACCACACACCATCCATGGAATTATCTTCTCTTTTATCCTAATTTATAAAACACAAAATCTGTGATCAGACTGAAAGAGAACCAGAAGAAAAAAAATGCAGAATAATATTCCGCATTAGTTAGAATATTAATCGTAGAGCTAACACCACCATAGCAAAATGAGGCCTAGGTATCTAAGTTCTATCGTCCCCAAAGAAGCATTGTTACTGAGAGGACAAGCGCTGCGGTTCAACATATAATTGGATAGGGAAAAGCATAGAGATATTAAAATAAGGGTGAGTGTCTGATATGTATTCTGAATACATGGTGAATTTATTATGATTCCACCTGTCTGGAAAGGTAGTTTTGTACCATTTTCCCATGACATCAGGCTGCAGTTGTATTTGAAATTATATGGAATATGCTATTGAACTTTGCAGAATCTATTCTAACTATGCATAGAATTACTCTAAGGGCTACTTAAGATGCAAAAATCCCAGTGTATGAAAGTAAACTTTGATAGAGCTGGTAAACACACATTTTTAAACATGGAGTGTCTTATGCCCTTTTAAAATTAATTCAAAGAAGCATGAATTATAAGGTAAAGAGAAATTCTTATCCATGTTTTGACTCTGAACTAGAACTGTCAAAATGGCTTAGCCACATATTCTACTTCTGGGCATTGAACAAGTTGCAGCATTATTAATGGCACTTCCCATAACCTCCCCTCCAAAGAGAAATGAAAACTAACTTTGGCAGCTGTTAAACCAAGATGATCATGGAGCCTCCATAGATCAATAGCTAAAGGGAGTATTTTTATTCCTGGAAGAGTTTTGCTCCTGTGCAAATTCAGTGTTGATGTCACATATCAACACAGTTCATGTTGTCTTCCTCCAAGATACAATCTTATTTTGTAATTCACCAGCCACTATATACTTATAATCAAGGGTATTCAGAGAGATATTTTTGTTTTTGCTGAAATATCTTTTCCCTCCTCCAATTCATTTTCTCTCATATATCTTTCTTTCCAAGTGTCTCCTCTACTCTTTTATGACTGCCAATCCAGCAACTAAGTCCTCCTATTAGTTGGAACCCCTGCAGTTCGGGAAGGAGATTTCAAACCTGCTTTTCTCAAGTGATCAATAGTTCTTTTGAAAAGTGAAAAATAAAACTCAATGAAGTTTTATCTGTGCTGGAGAGAATATATACAGATATATGTTCTGTGGAGGGAATGAGTATGGTTCTCATTCTCCTCACAGGAAGTGAAGAGCACTCCCTTTAAATCAGTGTGATGGACAGCTATTTAGATCTGTGAGAGCCTAAAAGCTGCAAATTATATAAATGGACAAACTATAATTTTTTATTTCCTGAGATTAGGGGAGGTATCTGGAGGACTTTCTTTCCAAAATGGCTACATTCTAAACCTATTTAGAGACGGCTTCAAAATGGCAGAAAATCATACAATCAGAGCAGGCTCTCTAAAAACAAAAATTGGGAAGGCTGTGGCTCTAGTTTGCATCTCCTGTTCTAAAGTTCTGAAATGAAGAACTGGATGTGGGTTTACCAGTCATGGATACCCTTTATAGCACATCTATCATTTATGTTTAGACTTTGGGTGAAGGGATATATGTTGGGCACTGGAAGTGATAACTAATTTTGATTTGCATTTATAGCCAGGCCATGGAAATGATCCTTTAAAGCCAGATGGCATTCTGATGGTGCAACCTTCTTATTTAATTACCTAGGTATTTCCATGTTTATAATTTAATCATTAAATCCTCCCTAAAGGAAGAAAAGGTGAATAAAACAATATGAACTCCAAAACCCTTTTCAACATTAGATGGCTTTAAGAGAAAAATAGATGTACTCATGAAGTAATAGTTGGAATGTCTAGATGTGAGAAAACAACATATGGAGAAGCATTACCTAGAACAGGGATCTCCAACTCCCAGGCAATGGCCCCATTACTGGGCAGTGGCCTAGTTGGAACTTGGCCATGTGAGCAGCGTGCCAATATGCTCATGCAGCTCAACTTGTGCAAGCTGCGGGCCAGCATGCATGCATAGGTATGTGCAGCTCAACTTGCACAAATCGACCTGCGCTCTCTTGCACATGCACACTGGCCTCTCATGCAATCCATTTTCCTTCCTCCCCCAGCCACCTCGACAAGGCACAAAGGGTGAGGACCGCTGATCTAGACTACCAACAGGATATGAATTTTTAAACACTATAAACTTTGGAAATTCTATAAATTGGACTCCAAATTTATGTGGCAACACTAGAGTCAAGAAATATGATCTGGATGTTTTCTGTGGAATCCAACTGAATCCAGCAAAACCTTTCATGGATGTCTCTAATTTGCCAGAAATTCAGATTGAAAGGTACTAAAGCTGTTCATAAATTGTATCAAGCTGTGGCCATTATTTTCAAGGAGATCCTAAGGATGACACAACAGAAAATACACCCTAGGGTACCTCTGGGAAAGCTGAAGAGTGAATCCAACCAAATATGAGTTAGAGCCTACATTAGGGATTATATTCTTATCATGTCTACAGATAGCTTGTCATAGCCTTGTTTCAGGTGAAAAATATTCTAGGCCTCTGAAGTGGCTAGAATCCACTCTGAAACTTTTCTGTCATGTTTTATGGTTTTATGTGTGAACCACTTAGATTCACTGTTGATTTATAAATTATAAACGATTACCAGCTCAATGGAAGAAAATAAGAATCACTCATTATTTACCTGAAGCTCTTTTATCTTTTTTTGGAGCTGCATCACTATGGCCTGTTCATCTTCAATCTTAGAGTTCATCTGATTGATTTCAAATTCTTTCCTGTTAATGCAAGAGATGTTCAGATGTGGTGGAATATAAGACTATTCATCAGAATGGCTGTATTGCTTTCTAAGCAGAAATGCAGTTTCAGAAGTAATGGCCATCATTATTACTATTTATCAAGATTTTTTTAAAATAAAAAAAACCTAGTTGTTAATGCAAAGTTTTTAAAAAATCTTATCTTATTTCTTGATTTGCAAGCTAAACAATCCATGGATATTGTACTTTTAATAACTCTGATATTGGGTGAAGTTGGTGAGTATACTTTGTGCTACACTTTGGTCAGCTGCCAAATTTGCTGTAATAAAAGAAACTACAGCAGATCAGGAGAGGAAAATAAAAACAGAATCCTACAACACAGAAGCTTTGTTTTGTCTTTGTAAGGACCCACCCCACTTTGCATCTTAAGAAGACAGAACTCTTGGAATAATTCTTCCAACAGGAATCCTTTATTAAGAGAAAATGGTTGCAGGCATGCTAGACAGGACTTGGGGTTCAAGCTCTTCCATTCAAGGTTTTAAGGGGTTCCCCAGTAGTCCCACCCAATCAACCCCCCTTCCAGTGATAGTTTCAAGTATCACAATTCCACCCCCTTTCTTCTTTCTTCCGTCTGCATGGGGACTTCAGATAACTACATGAAAGGCAACTACCCTCCTTTGGTATGTTAACGCTTCGAGGTTACAATAAACACACATTCAGCATTCAGCTCTTTGAAGTGTAAAGAAGGAAGTGAGGGCCATAAAGCCCCTTTGTTCTCCCCCTTCTCTCCCTCTTATGGCAGAATCCAGAGAAGGCAGAATTGGGAGTTTCTATATTTGATAATTTAAAGATGAAATATAATTGGATTCTGACATCCGGCCCCTCTTAACAATAAGAGAGATCCACCTGAAAGAAAACACAAGTATAAAATTTAGTCAGGCTTGTTAGGATACTCTGTGTGAAACTTCTTCAATAGCTTCGGGGCTCTGACATGACGTTTATGGACCCACTCATTTTGTGAGGGAGGTAGGTGTTTCCAGGCAACTAGGTACTGAGTTGCCCCATGATATCTCCTAGAATCAAGGATTTCCTTTATTTCGAAGTGTTGTTCACCCTCCACCATGAGTGGAGGTGGTGGTGGGGGGATTTTTGGCCGTAGATGTGACTGATGCTCTCTTTTCAGCAAGCTGCAATGAAAAATTGGGTGTATTTGCCTGAGGTTTTTGGGTAATTCTAATTCTACTGTTACCGGATTTATGATTCTTTTAATTGGAAAAGGTCCTATATATTTTGGTCCAAGTTTTTTACAGGGCTGTAGGGACTTTAGGTATTTTGTAGATAAGTACACCATTTCTCCTATAATGAATGGTGTAGGCTCAACCCTTTTTTTATCGGCTTGTGCTTTGTATGCCCGCCTAGCTTCATCTAGTGATTTTCTGACTATTGGCCAGGTGTTTTGTAGGTTTTCCATCCATTCCTTCAGTGAAGGGATCGTTGGTTCTTTTGGGGTTAACTCTGGCATAGGGTTGAAACTTTGACCGTTGGCTATTTGAAAAGGAGTGTAGCCTGTGCTGGAGTGGACTGCATTATTGTAGGCAACTTCTGCAAAAGGAAGTAAGTCCGTCCAATCACTCTGTTGGAAATTTAAAAAACATCTCAAATATTGCTCAAGTACCGACTGGCAGCGTTCCGCTTGTCCATCTCCTTGAGGGTGGTGGCTAGATGTCAATCCCTGAGTGGTCCCTAAGAGGGATAAAAATTCCTTCCAAAATGCAGATGTAAATTGCACTCCCCTATCAGAGATGATGCGTTGGGGTGCCCCGTGCAATCTGTAAATGTGCTGGATGAAAAGTTTTGCTAAGGCCTTTGCAGTGGGAATTTTTTGGCAAGGGATAAAGTGCACCTGTTTGGAAAATAGGTCCGTGACTGTCCAGATAACAGTATTCCCATTGCTTTCTGGCAATTCCACTATAAAATCCATGGCTATTTCCCTCCAGGGGGCTGAGGGACTTGCCACTGGTTGTAATAGCCCTGGCGATTTCCCTTGCAACCTCTTTGCTGATGCACAGGTTGGGCAGCTGGCAACATAACTTTCTATGTCCTTTTTTATTGATGGCCACCAAAATTGCCGTTTAATTAAGTGTAAAGTTTTTACAAATCCAAAATGCCCTGCTGATTTTGTGTCATGGCAAAGTGCATGAAAGTTAGTCTTTGAGTTGTTGGTATATATAACTTTTCCCCTACCCAAGGCAATCCGTCTCTCATTGTGCACACATGTTTGTTTTTCTGGAACCAATCATCTGTTTCCAAACTTTTTCTGAATTCAATCCCAGTTTGGCTGTCCAGTTGTGGTTTTATTTTGGCTTGGGTTCTTGTGGTTACTGGCGCTGCCAGTTGTGACTCTGCCATTATTGGTCTAGAGTTATATTGGGGCATGCGAGATAGTGCATCTGCCAGGAAGTTCTTTCTTCCTGGTAAATGTTTGAGCTTAAATTGGAATTGGTGAAAATGCTGGGACCAGCGGGCTTGTTTGGGATTGAGTTTCCTGGAAGTTTTCAGGGCTTCTAAATTTTTGTGATCAGTCCATACCTGGAAGGGGATTTTGTTGCCTTCCAGGAACTGTCGCCACGTGAGTAATGCCCAACGTATCCCATAAGCCTCCTTCTCCCATACGGGCCAGCGCTGTTCTGTTTCCGTGAGTTTCTTGGATGTATATGCACAGGGTTGCAATACTGCATCATCATTTTCTTGTAATAGCACAGCCCCCACTGCCACATCACTTGCATCTGCCTGTATTATGAAGGGCTTGTCCATGTCTGGGTGCCTTAGTACTGGTTCGGCAGAAAAAAGTCTCTTTAGTCTCTCAAACGCTGCTTGGCACTCCATTGTCCATGTTAGTGGCTGGCTAGGTTTTACTGAGGATGTTCCCTTCGTTTTTAGTAAGTTAGTGAGGGGCAAGGCTATCTGTGCAAATGAGGGGATGAATTGGCGGTAAAAATTTGCAAAGCCCAGGAAACTTTGTAGTTGCTTTCTTGTGCGGGGTGGTGCCCAATTTAGTACTGCTTTGACCTTCTCCGGGTCCATTTCAATGCCCTGTGGGGATATGCGATAGCCTAGGTAGTCTATCCTTTCCTGGTGGAATTCGCATTTTGAGAGTTTGGCATATAGGTGAGCGGCTCGCAGCTTCTTTAAAACCGCTCTGACAAGTTTGACGTGTTCTTCTTTTGTTTCAGTAAAGATAAGAATGTCGTCCAAGTAAACAAGGACCCCCTTAAATAGGTGCTCCCTTAGAACGTCATTGATTAATTGCATAAAGACTGCAGGGCCCCCTTGTAATCCAAATGGCAAGACTTTGAATTGATAGCACCCCATGGGGCAGTTAAATGCAGTCTTCCATTCGTCCCCTTCCTTGATTCTCACGCGATAGTAAGCTTCCCTTAAGTCTAGTTTAGAAAAAATTTTCCCTTTCGATAGGTGTGACAGCATGTCTTTCATGAGGGGCAGCGGGTATAGGTTGCTTTCACTGATTGTATTCAGGGCCCTATAATCCACGCATAAACGTAAAGAGCCATCCTTCTTCTCTCTAAAAAGGACCGGGGCAGCCACTTTAGGCTTGGCTGGCTCAATGAAACCTCTCTCCAGGTTTTTTTTTATAAATCTTTCCATTTCCTCCTTCTCCTTTGGGCTCATGGAGTATAATCTGGGCTTCGGGAGTTTTGCCCCAGGCTTGAATTCAATGGTACAGTCTGTGGGTCGGTGGGGGGGAAGCTCATTCGCCCTCTCCTCACTGAAGACTTCAGCAAGGTCCCTATATTCCTCTGGTATTTCTGTTAATCTTTTTTCCTCTCCTATGGATGCTTTTTCTATTCTTGATTCTGGTAGCCTCCCTTGGGGTTTTAAGTCCATAGGGTCCCCCTTCGGGAATTTGATTTCTGTCGTCCTCCAATTTACCCAGGGGTTCCATTTTTTCAACCATTCCATCCCTAGAATCATTGGGCATTCCATACCTGGGGTCACCACAAACGTTAAGTCCTCTTCATGGTTGCCCAGGGAGAGGTGTATTGGCAGAGTGGCTAGGGTAGCTGGCACCCCCCCTGCTATGGATCCATCTAGCTGGCCAAATGAGATTGGTTGTTCCAGTCTCCTGGATGGGATGCCCAGATTCCCCACTAGTGTTGGGCTAATGAGGCAGCGGGTGCAGCCAGAGTCTATTAAGGCTTTCACCTTCACAGCTTCGGGCATGGGGGGGATTAATATAGTCACTGTTTTGAAGATGGGTGTGATGCATCCACTTACCAGGGGTTCGCCCTCCGAGCTGTCATCTGAGGCATCCACCGTCCCTGTGGTGTAGGCTGGAGTTCTTTCCCCTTGGTGAGCAGAGGTGGGGGTTTCTGCAATTTCCATCATTTTCATGGCTGTTTCTTTTGGCTTAGCTGAATACCCTCTGGGTTTGTTGATTGGGGATCTGTCTGGGTTGTGCTGGGGGGCCTTTGAGCGGCATTCTACAGCTCGATGCCCTTCTCTTCCGCACTTGAAACACCCCATTTGCTTCTTGGCTGTATCCGATGATTTCACCGGTTGGTGTGTCAGCTCAGGCGGGGGGCGGCTCCATTGTTTTCTTCGGCGGTGCCTCTTCAATATGTCGATCTCTGCTTCCTCTGCCAAGACGTACCATTCCTCAAGTCGATGTGGGTCCCCTCGGGGCAGGCAAGCATCATATAGATCATAGTTTAGTCCGTCTTTGAAATGGCCAAGGAGGATGTCTTCTGGCCAATTCAGTTTGCTGGCAATGGCCCGGAATTCTTGTGTATACTCGGCCACTGGGCGTTTGCCTTGCCTCATCGTTGTTATTCTTTCACGGGCTTTGCGATCAGCCAGGGGGTCTTCAAATCGTCTTCTCAAAGAGGACATGAAACGGTTGAAGTTACTGAGTTCTGGGGCATTGGAGTCATGCAAGTTCACTACCCAATCCGCAGCTGGTCCATCCAGGGCAGATTGCACGATCCGGATGCGGGCTTTGTCGCTGGGAATGTCCTGCCCATATTCCTCCATGTAGCTGAGTACTTGGGTTAGGAAAAACCCCAAGCGTGTTGGCTCCCCTTTGAATTTCACCTCCAACGGTGGACGTCTTGGAATGGATCGGTGCCTCCGTTGTGGGTGGTAGTGTCTTCCGTCCAGATTGCCATCTGTGGTCCAGTAGGGGGTGGGGGCTCCTGGATCAGTAGATGTCCCTGGGGTTGCAGGTTCCACGTCCCCCTCGGTGTCTCTCCCTTTGTGGCTCCAGGAACTGGGGCGGCCGTAGGGCTCAGTATTCTCCTCTCCTAGGGAGCTGAGAGTTCTCTTCATCAGGTCAATAGCTTTCTCTAGGATCCAGTCTGAGTACGGTACCCAGCTTCCTCCCTCTTCACTTGCGTGCAGGGATTTCTCCATCTCCTGCTTCCATTCTGGTTGCTTGGTCCCCCGTCTCAGGGTCACCTTTCTTGATTCCTTTCTCCACTCACTTTTCTTTCCAACGTTCATCGACCAGCGAGGCTTGTGGTCCTGTGTCTCCACCACTTCTTCTCCCGAGGAATCTGACCTCTCAGATCCCAACATCTGGCAAGGTTCCAACTGGGTCAGCGGCTCTCTTTCCAGGGAGTTTTCCCCCTCTCTTGCTCCATTGTCTGACATGGTAAATTTTTTGCAAAATCCCCCGGCAAGGGTCTCCCTTCCAGGTGGATTAATTTTGCAAGTCCTGTCTAATGTAAGGACCCACCCCACTTTGCATCTTAAGAAGACAGAACTCTTGGAATAATTCTTCCAACAGGAATCCTTTATTAAGAGAAAATGGTTGCAGGCATGCTAGACAGGACTTGGGGTTCAAGCTCTTCCATTCAAGGTTTTAAGGGGTTCCCCAGTAGTCCCACCCAATCAACCCCCCTTCCAGTGATAGTTTCAAGTATCACAATTCCACCCCCTTTCTTCTTTCTTCCGTCTGCATGGGGACTTCAGATAACTACATGAAAGGCAACTACCCTCCTTTGGTATGTTAACGCTTCGAGGTTACAATAAACACACATTCAGCATTCAGCTCTTTGAAGTGTAAAGAAGGAAGTGAGGGCCATAAAGCCCCTTTGTTCTCCCCCTTCTCTCCCTCTTATGGCAGAATCCAGAGAAGGCAGAATTGGGAGTTTCTATATTTGATAATTTAAAGATGAAATATAATTGGATTCTGACAGTCTTGCTACCTATTATTATTGAGGTGTAAAATTTAAAAGCTCCCAAGATAACTTTGTAGGTAGGAATAGGTCCCCTGATCCTTCTTTTTAAAAATCTCATTAGCTCTCAATTCTCTACCTTTCTTTCCCAACCTATCCCACTTCTGTTATGTGAAAGTTTTCATTTACTAGTCAAACATATCCACCAGGCACATATGACAAAACCTCAGGGGACAGACAAACCTTCAGGTTTTGGCTGCTTTCCCTGGATCAAAAAATGCAGGAAACTTCCATGTACCCAGCAGTTTATATTGTAAGCTTAGGTATGTGGAATTATTTCATGTAATTGGTAGTTACTTTCCATGTTTAAAAGTGAATATAAAGGGGACCCAAAATTGCTTATACTAAAAAAGCAGGTCCCTTCTAGATGTTTTGGACTTCAACTTCCATCTGTCTCATCCAGTATAGCAAATTGTGAGACACAAGAGATTGGGGAAATTGTGGTTAAAGGCATTGGCTTGCCTTTCTCTGTTACTATATCAAACTGAATTATTAAAAGCTTACTTCTTTAGCTTTTCTTCCAGTTGCAGTTTATCATTCTCTAAATCCATGACACTTTCTTGAGTCAGTTTCAAGTCTCCTTCCAGTTTTCGTTTGGCTCTTTCCAGATCCATTCTCACTTTCTTTTCTTGTTCCAGAGAACCTTCAAGCTTCAGACATAAAAAGGTAAAAGGAACTATGAATTCTGACAGTGGGTTACAATTAGTTGCATAGGTTATAATAAAGTATAGAAAGACTATACATCATGCTAATACATAATTTGGATAGTTTGGTTTTGCTTAACATACTGTATAAACCTAGCTATTATAATTTATAAACCATCACTTCTGGCTAAGCTTGATGTGACCATTGAATTGGTCACATCAAGCTTAATGTGAATCATGTGCGTTCATGATTCACATTAAGCCATGTTGAACTGAGAAGCTTAGTAACTGGTTTACTTTAATTCATTTTTCTCATGGCAAAGAATGGGTTTGACATCAATGGTAAGAAAATCAAAGCTATTATTCATCAAACACGCAGACAATCAATTAAAAAGCCAAATTTTATTCAACTAAGTGATTCCAAGAACTATCAAATAAAAGATCTCACCATTCCAGATCAACGTGATAATATTAATCAGCAATGATGAGAGTTCTACTCCACTGTATCTAAGGGCACCAGTTGGATAAGGTTAATCTAGATAAATCAAAAACAACAACAACAAACCAAACATACATCATCCACTTGTTGCTCCAGTTTTACTTTAGCCTTGCTCAGAGTATTGACTTTATCCTCTTCTACTTGCAAATCATCTAAGGCCTGCTGATGAGCTTCCTGTAAAGATTTCTTTTCTTTTGTAAGTTTGCTGATAGTTTCATCCAGTGCTGCCATTTCTTCTGTTAGGTTTTTAACCTAAAAATGAAACAGAAGTATAAAAGTCAAGAACTACTTGCAGAGTCATTGTAGTTCAAATGCATTTTGATCCTTGTTTGTGAAAATTACTCTACAGTATATATATAAAATGTACTTCTGGTTCATACAAAACAGACTATCCCTTTTTGAGTATGCACTCATGTAAATTGAATCACAGACATGCCATCATATGAAAAAGGAAGGAAAATATCTTAGATCAGAGATGTCAAACTCACGATGTCATGTGACATCGTGTGACATATTAGAACTTTTCTCCCACTGCCAGCAATGGGGTAGGCACGGTTTCCTTGTAATGTGTCTGGCCGGAAGGCCGGCAGTTTGACACCTCTGTCTTAGATGAAGGAGTTTTTTGTTTAAAAAAACTTCTAGAACTCCTTATCAATTGTTGTGTTCAACTGAGCTTTAATTTCTCTTGGAACTCCATCAAATTTTTACAGTGAAGAACACAGTTTGAAAAACCTGGGCTTAGAGTATTGGAGCAGAGACAGTTCCATATCCAGGTAATAAAATATGTTGTTCAAAATAATCTGCATAACAATTTTCAACATTCAAGATGTCATAGCATATAATATATCCTCCAGGCAACTGTGGATGTGGCCAATACCTGGATAGGAAACTCTGTGCATGGAAAATCTTATCTACATTATTTTAGGTTCCATAATGAAATAAATGTTTTTATATGTGTGCGCGCATTTGTGTTTGTGTGCATGTGTCTAACAAATAGTTAGGTACTGCATTTGTTCATGTGAATGCTATCAGAAAATAACAGAATTATAATCATTTCTATAGGCATAGATCTCAGGATGACAAAATAAGAGGAAATAATGTAATTTATATAGATTCTGTTCATCCATATCTTTTCTCTGAAAAATTATTAGACCTCGAGTTAGCAAAATCCGTAACTGAGCTATATATGTCATCAAAAACATCTACAGTATTCAATTTCACTGGACTTAGTGAAGATTTAATGTTATTCTCTGTCTACTTTAGCACACCATGTACAATTTTATGAAGTTATGCTATTGCATTCGTTTCCCCACAAAATTACTTTCTTTTTTCTAATCTAAAATCTCCAACTGTTGTAACCTTTTCCCATTGAGAAACTGCAGCTTTCTGAGACATAGTTCAAACTGTGGGCATTTTATTTTTGATTCATTTTACTTTGAAATTTACTTGTTTTCAAAGGGACCAACATTAGCCTGACATTTTCATTAAGCTATTGGCCATGATCCAAATATTCCTTTCCTGACTGTTCAGCATATCAGCAAAGTTAGGAATGATTTCAATCCAATATGTAATATTTAATCCATTTTTAAAATCATTAAACAGTTAAACCAGGTTGATTTTTATCTTAAAAATATTAAAAGTACCTTATTTTCTGTAGCATGTTTTTCTTTCTCAACTTTTGCCAAAGTAATTTCAAGGTCATCAATATCTTTCTTCAGCTCAGAACATTCATCCTCCAGCTTTCTCTTCTTGGATGTCAACTCCGAGTTCATCTCTTCTTCATCTTCTACCCGTTCAGTCAGTTCTTTGACTTTGGCTTCCAGCTGAATCTTAGATTTAATCAGTAAATCACATCTTTCTTCTGCATCTGCAAGGGTATCTTGTTCCTGTTAGAATTTGCAGGGAATTGTATTAATGGCTCTAGAAAACCTATTTACTGTAGGTAACCAATAAATAAATTATATATTTTAGAATTAAGCGACAAAATTGCAATCTAGACTATACACTACTTTAAACGCATAGTAGGTGCAAGAGATCATTGCAAAGAATGAGATTGTTTTGTGTTCTTGGGAAATATCTGAGCATTAGATACCAAGGTCTGGATAGATGAAAAGTGTTCACACTTGGTTTTTAAACTGGTTCTTTATTAACACATTGAAAGGACTAGACTATATGGTTTCATGTGGCCAAATTAAACTTGTTTAAACTTTCAGTTGTTGTGCTTTATTTAGTCTTAGCAGTCTGTGTCACTGGTACATTGTTGAAGTTTCAGACATGATAGATGGACAATGGATCTCTTCCACTGCTGTTACCTTGAAATTGGCATTAAGGAGACATATGCTTTGATTTTAGAGGTATTATATGGAAGTTCTAGTAATAAAAATCAACGGCTTCACTGAAAAAATGGAACTAAGAGTAAGAATAAAGCACACAAAATTATTGACAAGTACAGCAACCTACACAATGAAAATATTGAAACAGTGGTTAATTTCTGCTTTTTAGGATTAAAACTCTGCAATAAAGAAACCAGAAATCAAAGATCAGAATCATGTAAGGAATGGTTTCCTTGTGAAATGAAAGCTGGACTTTGAAAAAGTAGGATAGAAAAGTATTGATGGTTTGGAATTGAAGTAGTTGTAACAGACTCCTGGGGATACTATGGATAGCCAAGAAAACAAATGAATCATCAAATACATCAACCCAAAGTTCTCACTTGAAGCACAAATAGCCAGACACAAAATATTATACTTTGGACAGTATGTGAAGACCTAGCTCTCCAGAGAAATCTAGAAAATGTGAAAAAAAAGTGAACAATCAGCAGCAAGTTTACAAGATTCAGTTACACATTCAATAGCAATGTGTGCACCATTAAAAGACCCACAGAACCAGTCTGGGTTCAGATCATCCTGCAGATAATCTGTGTATGTAGTCACTAGATTTAACAGTAAACTGGCACATAATAATCCAACATACATCACTTTTGTTCATATTGGATTTTTTGTACAGTTTCTAAATGCGTTGTTAGCACCCAGAGATGCATTGTGATACATTTCACAAATGTAAAGTGGGTTACCCACAGGTCCAACTGTATTTTACAATACTTTTTGCAGTGCTCGTTAAGCAAACATCCTGTACAATTTTTCAGCCTCTATGACATCTCAATCAAAATTCTTCATCTTTCAAATAAATACTGTATAATATTATCACACAAAGGAAAGTGGGAAAAATATGTGGTATAAATTGCTTTGCATGTATAAATAGAATAATCAGTCAGTTGAGATATAAGTTCAAGATAACAAACAGTTAAAATATGCATTCTTTCCTTGCCAATACAAAAGTACACCAACAAATTATATATAAAACACTACATATCCCAAATTTAACATTCCACTTCTTTGTTGGTTTGTCATGGAAACTGATTCTGAGACTGAAATATGTATAAACAAAATTCATATTTATATCCAAGCTTTTAAAGTTTTACACTTCATGTATTTACATGAAAAGTAATGTTAACTAATGCAGAGAAAAATGAAGGCTGTCATCCTTAGTTGAACAAATTATTGAGACATGCTACTTCTTTTTTTCTGCTTTTTTAGGATTTTTTTTAAAAAATAAAGCAATCTAAATTTATTCTGAAAAATACTTGCAAAATATGATAAAATAAAAAACAACTTATTTTTCCCCTATTTTATAGAGAAAAAGATTAATATGTCCCTTATTAATTTTTTATGAAGTTTTTGAATATAATCCTTTGTAATTTGCATATCCTTCTTTATGCTACTTATGCAATCTATGTGTTTGCTTTAAAAAAAATGCAGAATTATTACTTATTTACTTGTAGGAATTGGTTATTCTCCAGTAACAGAGGAATTTTTTTTAACTAACATTCTTATAGGAGCATTTTATCAATAGAAAGATAATTTTTCTCCTTGAGAAAACATATGGTTTCATGATTTTCAAACAGAGTTCTCTATGACTGCCTAAGCACACATACACACACACACACACACACACACACACACACACACAAAGTCTAGTTGCAGCACTATTGATGCAAAGCTTAATTCCTCCTAATGACTTCGGCTCATCTTTTCAAATATCATGTGAAAGCTCTATGCTTACCAACGTCATAGTTCCATTATCATAGGAGTATGCAACTTCGGACAAATTGAAGTTCATACAAGTAAATGGTATGTTAAGTACAACTGTCAAATATTGGTGGAACCGGGAGCCAATTGGAGAAAAAACTTTAATAATTGAATGGGTAAACATGGGTGTACCTTTAAGGAATAAGTACTAATTTTGTCCCTTAATCTCTCCAAGGATACCAATAGTGTAAAATGGACTTTTTTGATTCTCCCCTCTCTGCAGTGTTTCAGGGAGGTCACATCTGGTTCATTTATATATTTTCTGCACAAATACATTATAGAATTGTTTGATCATAGTAAACTGATGTCTCCAGACTGAACCTGTGAATGGGCTCTATAGAAGGAGGATAACATTGAAAACCAGAGGAAACATTTCTCTGGGTTTTTAAGATAAAAGATGATTCTTGGATTCTTCCAAAAAGTCAACAAAGGAGAGACATGAAAATAGAAACCACCACAGACTTTCTATTCTATACAAAAACAATCAGTTTGATTTAGAAATACTATTTTGGAAAGTTTTTTTTTAAAGTATTTTATTTTTCCAATTATAGTGAACGTACATTATCTTTCTTTAAAAGGAAGAGGCCATCATCAGTTTCTTTACAGTAAAGCACTTCTCTCTTTTCTATCTTTTTCTGAAGGTAACTTAGGTGATATTATTGCTATAAACTTTGGAGAGCCATATTGTTCAGCAGCAAGTGAAACAAGTAATAGTAATAGTAATAATAAAAGATTTGATTTGATCTCAGGCATTTCTTAAAAGAAAACACCACATTCTCCATTCCAATTTTCCTTTGCTGCAAAATGTCTGACAGTCAAACATTTTTGTGAACAACTTTAGTACCCATCAATTTTATTTTTTATAAGATGGAGAATATATCAATCGTTTTTCTGGAAAGCCTTCAATTCTACTTATCTCTTTAATAATAATAATAATAATAATAATAATAATAATAATAATAATAATAATAATAATAACTGGAGACAGTAGAATAGACGAAAAAGAACTGGAGAAGATAACAAAATACAAAGACCTACAAATAGAAATAGAAAGACTGTGGCAAAAGCAAGCAAGGGTAGTACCAATAGGATCCTTGGGTGCAATCCCCAAACAACTGGAGCACCACTTGAACACCATTGGCATTGACAAATTTGCTATTAGTCAATTGCAAAAGGCAGCCTTACTAGGAACTGCTTCCATCCTGCAACGATATCTGTAATACCATCAAACATCCACATCTGCCTATCCCAGGTCCTTGGTAAGGACTCATTGGTAGACAAAATGCCAGATCCAGTCTGAACATCTGGCTGACTGTGTGATGATCCATAATAATAACAATAACAATAATAATAATAATAATACCCCAGTGAGGCACTACCTTGACGTGGTTGTGGGGCTTGTGTACTCTGTGGAAGATGAGAGCTATGCCAGAGGTTCAACCATACTGGACAGGTCTCATCAGAGGAGTCAGACAAAGAGTGTCTCTCCCATAAAAAATATCGTGAGACGTAAATTGCAGAATGCCATACCGGCTCGGACGTCGCCCGGGTTAACAAGGTCCGCGCTAGATATTGGAGTTCCTGGATATCTGGTGAAAAATGGGTTACAGGACTCAGGACTGTTGGCTGAGCAACCAGGGCCAGCAGCTGCAGAACTACTGGAAGAAAAGGTGTTTACCCGTCGCAGATACACAGTGATGGAAAACAAAGAAATAATGATCTGTTACTACAGATCAAGTCCAACAAGAAGAGCATATCTAAAACGAATGCACCAGTTCTGGAAAGAACAACATCCAGAATCAGAAATAACAGAACAGAGACTAGCAGATCAACGCCGATTTATAACATGAAATAAAATATTCACAGAAACAGAATTGGACGAACTGCAAAGGTTTACCCAGGGCAAAGAAATCAAAGCCTTACCAGAAGTAATTCAGAAGTAGAGGCAAACCAGGGGGAGTTGGCAGTGAAGGAATCTAGCAGAGATATACAACTGTTCTCATTTGGAAACCAGGCACCTCTTCCTCAGGAAGAACAAAACCCTCTAACTAAAGAAATAAAAGAATTGAAACAAAGAATAACTGAGCATCTAGAACAGCACAAAAACAACAGAATAAGGCTACCTGCATTGAAGCTTGTTCCAAAGAAACAGCTAGCACAAGCATTAAAAGATGCAAATATTGCAATATCAAGTATAAGCACCAATTCACTGCAAGAAACAAACCAACTAATGTACAGCACAGCTGCAGTTATAACAGAATACCTGGGATGCAAAATCAACAAAGAAGAAAAACAAACAAACAGTGCACCAGAAAAATGGAAGGTTAGACTAGAAAATAAGATCAGCAAGTTAAGATCACATGCAAGCAAGCTAGAACAGATGAAAGAAAAGAAGCTGAAGAACAAGAAGACCAAAGAATACCTAATCAAGAAATACCACTTAGAAACAAGGAAGATCAAGGAAGCACTGGAAATAATAAAGCAACAAATAACAGCTATAGCCAGGAAAATCAGTAGATATGAAGCTCGAATTGCAAACTATAGGCAGAACCTCCAATTTCAATCCAATCAGAAACGTTTCTACCAATCCATCAATGGAGAAACTGCAAGGAATCAGTCAGTACCTGACAAGGAAGAAACAGTGCAGTTCTGGAAGCAGATATGGGATAACCCAAAGAAATACAACAAGGATGCGGCTTGGTTAAAAGAGGTGGATGCAAATAAAACAGAAGTTGAAA